GATTTTCTGGATTTTTTTTTCTCATTTTGTCTGTCATAGTTGACGTGTACCTATGATGAAAATTACAGGCCTCTCTCATATTTTTAAGTGGGAGAACTTGCACAATTGGTGGCTGACTAAATACTTTTTTTCCCCACTGTATGTTGTGAAATTGTTAGATATTACTTGTTAGATATTACTGCACTGTCGGAGCTAGAAGCACAAGCATTTCCCTACACCCACAATAACATCTGCTAAACACGTGTATGTGACAAATAAAATTTGATTTGAATTTGGGACACAACACTCCTCTCTATTCCCTTTAAAGCTGCATACAGACAGGCTCGTTTCTTGCTGCCTTCTTAATGCCCTCTTATTAAGCCCTATTTGCATGGGATTAGTTTTACTGGGGGAGATAGGGTTATGTAATTATGTGCATGAGCACAAATCTCCAAATCCGTAATTTAAGTCCTGTCCGAATCTGCCATGTAGGTCATTTTTACATAACAGGAGAGTAATAATTCCAGCTGAAAAAAATGACAGATTTTCCACTAACTCCAAGGTCCTCTGATAATACCAGTCCCGTTTGTAATGAATATTCTGGGAGAAAAAGGTGTAGATTCACGCGCAGAGCGTGGCAGGTGTTTATTTCACCTTCGCAGAAGGCAGGAATCGTGGTCACAGGCAGGCAATGGTCATACACAGGTAGGCAAATAGGCAGGAGAATAAAAAACTAGGACTGAAGGCTATAACTGGTTCTCACAAACGAGCTAGGAAAAGGCTTAGTAGAGTCAAAACGAACAATACCTCACAAGGCACAAACAAAATGAACTGAACTAAACAAGGAGCTGATGAGACCAGGTGAGTAACTAACACAGGTGAAATCAAAGAACAAAAATGATAGACAGGGCTACATTCAAGAACACAAAGAAGCAGGGCTACGTTCAAGGACACAAGGCTGACTAAGAAAATAAATACAGAACCTTACACCATGCAAATCAACTTCCCTGTATTTTGAGAAGAATGTCTGAGTTTAACAGCTGTTGCTCGTGGTTTGAGCAGGAAAGCAATTACTGATTCGATAAATTGATGCGCTGCGCACAGCCGATATATTTTTTATTTTTTATTTTATTTATTTCACCTTTATTTAACCAGGTTAGCCAGTTGAGAACAAGTTCTCATTTACAACTGCGACCTGGCCAAGATAAAGCAAAGCAGTGCGATAAAAACAACAACACAGAGTTACGTATGGGGTAAACAAAACATAAAGTCAAAAATACAACAGAAAATATATATACAGTGTGTGCGAATGTAGTACATTTTGGAGGTAAGGCAATAAATAGGCCATAGTGCAAAATAGTTACAATTTCTTATTAATACTGGAATGATAGAGGTGCAAAAGATGATGTGCAAATTGAGATACTGGGGTGCAAATTAGCAAAATAAATAACAATATGGGGATGAGGTAGTTGGATGGGCTAATTTCAGAATGGCTGTGTGCAGGTGCAGTGATCGGTAAGCTGCTCTGACAACTGACGCTTAAAGTTCGTGAGGGAGATAAGAGTTTCCAGCTTCAGAGATTTTTGCAGTTCGTTCCAGTCATTGGCAGCAGAGAACTGGAAGGAATGGCGGCCAAAGGAGGTGTTGGCTTTGGGGATGACCAGTGAGATATACCTGCTGGAGCGCAGACTACGGGTGGGTGTTGCTATGGTGACCAGTGAGCTAAGATAAGACGGGGATTTGCCTAGCAGTGATTTATAGATGACCTGGAGCCAGTGGGTTTGGCGACGAATATGTAGTGAGGGCCAGCCAACAAAGCGTACAGGTCACAATGGTGTGTAGTATATGGGGCTTTGGTGACAAAACGGATGGCACTGTGATAGACTACATCCAATTTGCTGAGTAGAGTGTTGGAGGCTATTTTGTAAATGACATCGCCGAAGTCAAGGAACGGTAGGATAGTCAGTTTTATGAGGGCATATTTGGCAGCATGAGTGACGGAGGCTTTGTTGCGAAATAGGAAGCCAATTCTAGATCTAACTTTTGATTGGAGATGCTTAATGTGAGTCTGGAAGGAGAGTTTACAGTCTAACCAGACAACCAGACACCTTGTAGTTGTCCACATTCTCTAGGTCAGACCCGTCGAGAGTAGTGATTCTATTCGGGTGGGTGGGTGCAAGCAGCGTTCGGTTGAAGAGCATGCATTTAGTTTTACTTGTGTTTAAGAGCAGTTGGAGGCTATGGAAGGAGTGTTGTATGGCGTTGAAGCTCGTTTGGAGGTTTGTTAACACAGTGTCCAATGAAGGGCCAGATGTATACAAAATGGTGTCGTCCGCATAGAGGTGGATCCGAGTGTCACCAGCAGCAAGAGCGACATCATTGATATACACAGAGAATAGAGTCGGCCCGAGAATTGAACCCTGTGGCACCCCCATAAAGACTGCCAGAGGTCCAGACAACAGGCCCTCCGATTTGACACATTGAACTCTATCTGAGAAGTAGTTGGTGAACCAGGCGAGGCAGTCATTTGAGAAACCAAGGCTATTTAGTCTGCCAATAAGAATGCGGTGGTTGACAGAGTCGAAATCCAAATATTATTGCGACACTATACGTTGCAAAGTTTTGCTTGCAAATAAAAGTATGCTTCCTATCCCCACGGGGGTTTCTGGTATTGGTGTCGCTGCTGCTGTTGTTTTTGTCTCAGGGCAATTTGTGGTTTTGAAGCAAATTCGTATCTCTGGTTTCCTCATTTGTCACTTCTGAGGTGTCTGAGGAGAAAGACTCAATTGTGCAGATTTAGCTCGGCTTGTCAGCTGTTTGATGAGAACATGTGGGTGATTCCAACACAAACCGCTCTGTATGTGTGTATCGACATTAACTCATTTGATTGTTGTTGTTTTATGCAACAGAGGTCCTCTGGGAGGAGTGTGTGTGTGTGTGCATACGTGCGTGTGTCTGTGTGCGTGCGCGACACCCTGCATTCGAATTTGACAGCAGAAGATCATAGACAACATGAATAGCGCTTCAAAAACTCAAAAAACCTAAATGGATTCCTTCGTGGATACAGTTATGTGGGGTTACATGTTCAAAAGCAGTGCTCATATATACGATTGTTAATGAATAATTCAGAAGTGACTGGGAAAGGATAGGCGTCAGACATGTAGCTCTGTTCTCTTCTGAATCAGACATTCAGAGGCTTGAGAGAGAGCAGAGAGAAAGGCTCATTCGAATTTAGAAGGGATGTTGAAGAAACATTGACACCAGACAGTATCATCCTTTTGGAATTTGTCCTTGCCATCTTCAAATTGTGTTTTTTGAGTGCCATGGTAAGGCAGTCAAATATTTTCTTACTCAAAGGCGATTTGGTTTACTTTGATCCCCTTCAATGTGGTCACGATCCCCTTCAACATTGTGATGAAATGTCTTTGGCAAAATGGGAGACTGTCATATGGCATCTGGTGTCTATCTTGTACAGATTGCATCGCTTCTGTGGGATCGTCCCAAATGGCACCCTAACCTATCCCCTGTATAGTGCATTACTTTTGACCAGGGCCCATAGGGAAACCTATCGGGCTCTTGTCAAATGTTGTGCACTGTATTGGGAATAAGGTGTCATTTGAGTCGCAACCTGTGTACACCCGATCTACAGGTAACTGCCTAAATAATGAAAACACTTGAGTAAATGAGGGATACAAAGTATATTTAAGGCAGGTGCTTCCACACAGGTGTGGTTCTTGAGTTAATTAAGCAATTAATGTCCCATCATGCTTTGGGTCATGTATAAAAATGCTGGGCAGGCCATTATTTTGGCTACCATGGCTAAGCCCCCATAGGATGACAATTGCCTCATCCACAGGGCACTAGTGATCACTGAATTGCTTGATGATCGTGAAAACAATGTAAACCATATGCCATGGCCGTCTCAGTCACCAGATCGCAACCCAATTGAACTTTTATGGGAGATTCTGGAGCTGTGCCTGAGACAGCGTTTTCAACCACCAAATGATGGAATTTCTCATGGAAGAATGGTGTCACATGCCTCCAATAGAATTCCAGACACGGTGCATTGAAGCTGTCGAATCCCTCCAACAGAGTTCTATACCAAGGTGCATGGAAGCTGTTCTGGCTCATGGTGGCCCAATGCTCTATTAAGAGAGTTTATGTTGGTGTTTACTTTCTTTTGGCAGTTACCTGTATTTTTGTTTTGAAAGCTAGATGAAACTTTTAAATGAACATTCCACAATTGAGAAATGTTTCTGGAAGGGAATGTCAATGCGGGCCTGGATGGTGCATCGAAAGTGAATAGCGTGTTCTACTACAGTACATGTAGGCCGCTTCCCAAATTGCACCCTATTCCATATGTAGTGTGCTACATTTGACCATGGACCATAAGGTTCTGGTCAAAAGTAATGCACTATATAGGGAATAGGGTGCCATTTGGGACATAGTCGTAGAGTTACAACAATTGAACATCGTGGGGAAATGAAAACAGGACTTTTATTGATTGCATGTATTTGGTTTTGACAAGAATTCTAGGATACTGTATGTCTGTGCTGTCTTTATTCACAAAAAATGTTCTGCATGTTCGTAATCTCATTATCTAAATTCTGACATCTATAACCAGGTCATATTTTCTACAAAAGCATTACACAGAACAAACAGTGCATTGTTAAAAAACGACAACACATTTTATATTCAAATATGTTCGGCCTAGTTAATTATGCATGATTCGTCGCTCTTTTCACTCAGAATCCTAATGTTATGTTTTGTCCCGATATATAGCCTAGCCTACATAATCGTTCATCGCATTTATTCAAAACTGGGTCCTGTGTATTTCTCCCTTAAACTTTTTCCCCTTCTGTCATTGTAAACAATAGTTTGTTTGTTCAGGTGCTTGATCTACCTATTACTGGCACTGCGGTGAGATATGCATGTGCCGGGCAAGGTCCTTGACACAGCCAATTTATTTATACTTCAATATAATGACTTCGGCATCAAAGCGTGTGAACGACAGAGACAAAATGAGAAAACCTATATATTCTAAAGCCCCCACCCCCTCCACGAGTACTCCTTCCTTTGTTGACAACAAGCAGCATGTGAATATGCTCAAATGAAGAAGAGATAAAAGCAATGCACCGAAACAACACAAAAGCCACCTTTTCTTTTGTTGTTTCACTATGCTTGGTGAAGCGCAGAACAACAGAGTAAATTGCCCTCGAATGCAACACATTTTCACTGGCCGAGTCCCAAATGGCACGCCATTCCCTATGTGCCCTGGTCAAAGGTAGTGCACTATGCAGGGAATAGTGTGCCATTTGGGACGCATCACTGGTCTTTGATGTCCACCTCCAAACGGGCTACTGATTGGATTTCATAGCCCACATTGTCTTCCCTCTTCCCAGTTGTAACCGCTCTGGGCTGAAGTGTCCCCTAAGTACAAATCTATGATCAGCTTCCCCTGCCCCTTCCCCAATCCTAACCGTCTATGAATTTAAGAGTGGTTACATTTCTCCAGCCCCATACCTCAGCTTTTTACCGGGAGGGGGGGGGTCCTTTCTTATTGTTTCTTCTGTGGATTTCCCCTTTAAGGGTAGGATTGGGGGAGGGAAAGCTGATCCTAGATCTGTACCTAGGGTAAACTTCCTGCCAGAGTGGTCACAACTGGGAAGACAGTAACGTTGACCATAGATGTTGAAAAGGTCAGCATCTACAGTATGGGCAACTTCACCATCTTCCCTGAAGATGAGGTATGCGGCTGGATAAATGTAACCACTCTTAAATTCATAGTCAGAGCTATGGATGCAAGGACTGACCATCCATAATATCAACATTATAGTTTGAACCATGTTTGGAGGCTATACAGTGTTTGTTAACAAACATTGTGTATTTTGGGTTCAGATGGGGTACAAATCTCATGAGGCATTTATAAGTTATGTTCTTCAAGAATCAATGGGTACATACAGTATCATTAATTTATAAATCCAAAAATGGATGTAGCAACAGCAGATTGCCCCTTTAACCATAAGTGGGGGTAATGCAAAACCGACCCAAGATCAGCGTCCAGAGGCAGCTTTAGGTACAGATGTAGGATCAGCTTCCCCTTCCCTAATCCTAATTAACCATTAGTGGGGAAAATGCAAAACTGACCCAAGATCAGCATCTAGGTCTAACTTCAACCTACTCTGTTGTGACTCATATTCAGATGGGCCAAAGGGGGCAGCATCATCAGGCAGGTATCAGGTGACACCTATGAGGTCATCGTGGACCACTCGTTCTTCACAGAGCCCGTCTCCTGTGAGGTCACCAATGCCCTGGGCAGCACCAACATCAGCAGGAACGTGGATGTCTACTGTGAGTAGTAGTCCGCAAGCAACACGTGCACGCACGCACGCACGCACGCACACTACTGTGGGTAGTCCGCAAGCAAACAGACTCAGGAACCCAAACTAGCTAGCTACAGGCTGTAGGAATCACATCTACCTCTACATGGATAGTCCCAAATAGATTTGTAGATGTTAAACTAACTGTCAACGACATTTCAACTAACTATCCACTAACCCTCGCCCTAACCTTAATCCTTACCCTTACCCTTACCCTAACCCTAAACCTAACCCCAACCTTATCCTTTCCCTCATGCTAATCATAAACTCAACGCTAGCCCTAACCTTAACCCTTACCCTAACCCCAGCAAGTTGTTGTGTATCAACAGAGTTGCAATTATTTGTTTGTTGATACTGTAGCTTAAGTATCTGTAGATCATCTATAGGGGACTATCCAAATAAAGTGTAACCATTTCTGTTCCTGTGGTTCCAGTTGGGCCCAGAATGGCTGCTGAGCCACAGTCCCTACAGGTGGACCAGGGATCAGATGCTATCTTCAACTGTGCCTGTACAGGAAACCCCTCCCTCACCATTGTGTGGATGAAACGCGGCTCTGGAGTGGTAGGCATTGTAATCACCATCATCCTTTTTATTATGCTTGTATTGCCAGTTGCTTATTGTGCAAGACCCATTCCCTCTTAACCCTCATACTACCGACTCGGGTCATTTTGACCCCAGAGGCACATCTTTATATCATAGCCCAAGACGTTGTCAATCAACTTGTTGGTAATAAATATAAATCATTGTTTGGTGTTTCTGTATCAATATGGAATTTTAAACAATTATAGTCCTTTATGGTCATTTTGACACCAGCTAAAAACACTTAATTTCGCCTATAGTAATTTGATAGATCTGACCTTTATTTGAATCTAGGTTTCTCTGGATACATAATAACAATTTATCCATACCACCTAAAATTGTACTTTTCTATACCACGTATCGTATGACTGTGTACAAAACCAAAATGATCTTATTTTTGTTCATATAAAAATCTGCCAATGGTATACAAGGCCTGCCAATGGTATAAATACTTGATAGAACTACAATGCAGAGCTCAGATACACTCTGTGTTTTCTGAAAAGTAGTTATTCTAGGGCATATCTAAAGTATTTATATGAATCCAGGTTTCTTTGGAGACATAATATTAATAAGTTATACATATAATCAGAGGGTGGAGGTGGACCTATTGCAGTGATCTTGACCTGATAGACAGATCACCTGCAGAGATGGAACACCTGGGGTATGACCGTGTACAAAATATAAATTACCTTAGATATATGCTTAGTTGCAGTCATAACAGTTCATGAAAGTCTGTCAGTGTTATTAATACTTGGTAGAACTGTAATACAGAAACCAGCTACTCTCTGAATGTATACATACTGGTGTAGTGGTGTGTATTCTCAGAAAAATAGTTATTCTACTGCAGATTTCCTATAATACCCTCCAATGTTCTATATGTGCAACTTATGTTCCTTTGGTTGCTATAACATTTGGGTTGAAGTGACTGAGGATTTGGACATGCTTTTTGGTGCATCCAGCCATAGGTCCTACCACTCCCATTGTGTCACTAGCAGCGATGCTGGCAGTGGGGTAAGTAAGTAAATAAAGAAAATGAAGCCATACTTTTGGTAATTGTCTCTCAGGATCAATGGATAAATCACTTTTTGTCAATATAATTAAGTATATTTCAAATGTTGGTGTACCGCCCCTTTTTAAATTCAAATGTACTTCAAAATTCTAAAAACTAAATGATACTACAATCAAATGATGGTAAATCTGCTTTTTATTATTAGTGTGAATTGTACTTTGGAAAAAAGCTGCATATTATTTAAGGGGAAATTTATATTTTTGTTTGACAGAATATGCAAATTACTGTAATTTTGCTAAGATAATGGTCTGTTTTGGTTATTTTATTTCAGATAACATCATTTACATCTCTAATTACACTGAGTGTACAAAACAATAAGAACACCGGCTCTTTCCATGACATAGACTGACCAGGTGAATCCAGGTGAAAGCTATGATCCCTTATTGATGTCACTTGTTAAATCCACTTCAATCAGTGTAGATGAAGGGGAGAAGACAGGTTAAAGAAGGATTTGAGACAATTGAGACATGGATTTTGATTTTGTATCTGTGCCATTCAAAGGGTGAATGGGAAAGACAAAATATTGAAGTGCCTTTGAATGAGGTATGGTGTACGGTTTGAGTGTGTCAAGAACTGCAACACTGCTTTCCCGTGTGTATCAAGAATGGTCCACCACCCAAAGGACATCCAGCCAACTTGACACAACTGTGGGAAGCATTGTAGTCAACATGGGCCATCATCCCTGTGGAACGTTTTCGACACCTTGTAGACTCCATTCCCAGGCGAATTGAGGCTTTTCTGAGGGCAAAAGAGTGTGCAATTCAATATTAGGAAGATGTTCCTAAGGTTTTGTAAACTTAGTGTATGTTTTCATAAGAATTAAGTAGATATTTTGCTATGATTGTTGCTTTTTCCAATACTATCTTCTTGGGGTCAAAATGACCCCAGTTCATAATCCATGGATGTAAAATATGTTGGTAGTATGAGGATTAATGCCAATAAAGTATTATATTATATTCTACAGTGCCTTCGGAAAGTTTTCAGACCCCTTTACTTTTTCCACATTTTGTTAGGTTACAGCCTTATTCTAAAATTGATGAAATTGTTTTTTTTTACTCATCAATCTACACACACAATACCCCATAATGACAAAGCAAAAACTGTTTTTTAGAAATGTTTACTAATGTATTAAAAATAAAAAAAACTGAAATATCATATTTACATAAGTATTCAGACCCTTTACTCAGTACTTTGTTGAAGCACCTTTGGCAGCGATTACAGCTTCGAGTCTTCTTGGGTATGATGCTAAAATCTGGAGCAGGTTTTCATCAAGGATCTCTCTGTACTTTGCTCCGTTCATCTTTGCCTCGATCCTGACAAGTCTCCCAGTAAAACATCCCCATAGCATGACGCTGCCACCACCATGCTTCACCTTAGGGATGGTGCCAGGTTTCCTCCAGATGTGACGCTTGGCATTTAGGCCAAAGAGTTCAATCTTGGTTTCATCAGACCAGAGAATCTTGTTTCTCATGGTCTGAGAGTCTTTAGGTGACTTTTGGCAAACTCCAAGCGGGCTGTGATGTGCTTTTTATTGTGGAGTGGCGTCCGTCTGGCCACTCTACCATAAAGGCCTAATTGGTGGAGTGCTGCAGAGATGGTTGTACTTCTACAAGGTTCTCCCATCTCCACAGAGGAACTAGAGCTCTGTCAGAGTGACCATCGGGTTCTTGGTCATCTCCCTGACCAAGGCCCTTCTCCCCCGATTGCTCAGTTTGGCCGGGCGGCCAGCTCTAGGAAGTGTCTTGGTGTCACTGTGTTCTTGGGGACCTCAATGCTGCAGAAATGTTTTGGTACCCTTCCCCAAATATGTGCGTCAACACAATCCTGTCTCGGAGCTCTACGGACAATTCCTTCGACCTCATGGTTGTTCTTTGCTCTGACATGCACTGTCAACTGTGGGACCTTATATAGACAAGTATGTGCCTTTCCAAATCATGTCCAATCAATTGAATTTACCTGTCACGTTCGAACCAAGGTGCAGCGTGGTATGCGTACATAGTCGTTTATTTTAATAAACACCGACAAAATACCAAAATCCAACAGAACGTGAAGTTCAAGAGGCTAAACATCAAACAAGCCAAACAGAAACAAGATCCCACAACTAAGGTAGACAACATGGCTGCCTAAGTATGATTCCCAATCAGAGACAATGACCGACAGCTGCCTCTGATTGGGAACCACACCCGGCCAACATAGAAATATATAAATTAGATTTCACACCCTGACCAACCCAACTAGAGATCTCAATGTCAGGGCGTGACAGTACCGCCCCCCCAAAGGTGCGGACTCCGGCCGCAAAAACCTGACTCATTAGGGGAGGGTCCGGGTGGGCATCTAGCCTCGGTGGCGGCTCCGGCTCCGGCTTCGGACGTGACGTAGGCAGTAAACTCTTCTCCCATCCTGCCTACCCTTTGCACGTCCAGTCCGGTCTGGACCCCGGCGCGATGCTCCCCCTCTCAGTCCACCCACAATGCACCAAGCCCTGTCTGGACCCTGGTGTGGGAGCCATCGACCCTGGAGAGGGGCTGACGTCTGGTCCCGGCCCAGCAGTCCTCCCGCGATGCACCAAGTCCTGTCTGGACCCTGGTGTGGGAGACCCCGACCCTGGAGAGGGGTTGACGTCTGGCTCCGGCTCGGACCACGGTGGAGCGGATGGCTCCGGCATGGGGGAAGAGTAGACGACCGGACCTGGACTGGGCACTGGTGGAGCGGACTGCTCTGGCACTGGAGTGAAGCAGCTGACCGGAGCTGGACTGGGCACCGGTGGAGTGGACTGCTCTGGCACTGGAGTGGAGCAGATAACCGGAGCTGGAATAGGGACCGGTGGAGCGGACTGCTCTGGCACTGGAGTGAAGCAGCTGACCGGAGCTGGACTTGGCACCAGTGGAGCGGACTGCTCTGGCACTGGAGTGGAGCAGCTGACCGGAGCTGGACTAGGCACCGGTGGAGCGGACTGCTCTGGCACAGGAGTAAAGCAGCTGACCGGAGCTGGAGACTCTGGACTGCAGACCATCGCTGGAGGTTCTGGACTGCAGACCGTCGCAGGAGGCTCCGGGCCATGGACCATCACAGGAGGCTTCGTGCCATGGATCATCACTGGAGGCTTCATGCCATGAATCATCACTGGAGGCTTCGTGCCATGGATCATCACCGGAGGCATCGGGCCATGGATCATTACTGGAGGCTTCGGGCCATGGATCATCACTGGAGGCTTCGGGCCATGGATCATCACTGGAGGCTTCGTGCCATGGATCATCACTGGAGGCTTCGTGCTATGGATCATCACTGGAGGCTTCGTGCCAGTGCGGGGCGCTGGCACAGGATGCACTGGGCTGTGGACACGCACCACTGGTTTGGTGCGAGGAGCAGGCACGGCCCGTACCGGGTTGGGGACACGCACCACTGGTCTGGTGCGAGGAGCAGGCACGGGCCGTACCGGGTTGGGGACACGCACCACTGGTTTGGTACGAGGAGCAGGCACGGGCCGTACCAGACTGGAGACACGCACAACTGGTTTGGTGCGAGGAGCAGGTACGGGGCGCACCGGGCTGGAGACACGCACCACTGGTTTGGTGCGAGGAGCAGGCACGGGCCGTACCGGTCTGTGAAGGCACACTGGCGGCACAGTGCGTAAAGCCGGTGCATAGCCTGGTGCCTGCACGATCACACGCTCCTCAAAGCGAGTGCGGGGAGTTGGCTCTGATAAACCTGGCTCCGCCAGCCTCTGCTCTAAGGACGAAGCTCTCTGCTGCTGGAGGGTTAACTCCTCTCTCAGCTCCTCCTGTTGCCTGGCCAGCTCCTCTCTCCGTGCATCCACTGACTCTTTCTCCCTGTGAGCCTCCTGCAGTGCCTACTTCTGAAGGGAGAGCTCCTGCTCCCTCTTAACTAACAGCTCCCGTAAGGCGGTGGTCTCCTCTCTCAGAGTACTGAGCTGCAGGTCTTGGAGGGCGGCTTCTTCTATAGCTTTATCCCTCTCCACAATCAGCCCTTCCAGGGCCTCCTGCTGTTCCGCCAACCACCCTGTGTGCACCCCCAAAAAACATTTATTGGGGCTGCCTCTTGGGCTTCCTTCGCGGTCTTGAACCACGATGTCGCCGTTGATCCTTTCCTGCCTCGGCCTCTTCCTTCGCCCAGGGTCCCTTACCGGCCAATATCTCCTCCCATGTCCAGAATGTTTTCCCCACCTGTGTCCAGCGTGTCTGTTCCTCCTGGCCACGCTGCTTGGTCCGTTGGTGGTGGGATCTTCTGTCACGTTCGTTGTGTAAAGGATCGGACCAAGGTGCAGCGTGGTATGCGTACATAGTCGTTTATTTTAATAAACACCGACAAAATAACTAAATCCAACAGAACGTGAAGTTCAAGAGACTAAACATCAAACAAGCCAAACAGAAACAAGATCCCACCACTAAGGTAGGCAACATGGCTGCCTAAGTATGATCCCCAATCAGAGACAACGACCGACAGCTGCTTCTGATTGGAAACCACACCCAGCCAACATAGAAATATATAAATTAGATTTCACACCCTGACCAACCCAACTAGAGATCTCAATGTCAGGTCGTGACATTACCAAAGGTGGACTCCAATCAAGTTGTAGAAACATCTCAAGGATGATCAATGGAAACAGGAGCTCAATTTCCAGTCTCACAGCAGTGTCACGTTCGTTTAAGGACGGGTCAGACCAAGGCGCAGCGTGAAAGGCATTCATGTTTATTTCACCGATAAACACACAAACAAAACAACAAACCAAACCAAACGTGAAGTCCTAAGGCTAAACACAATACACGGAACAAGATCCCACAACTAATGATACAAACAGGCTGCCTAAGTATGATCCCCAATCAGAGACAATGAGCGACAGCTGTCTCTGATTGGGAATCACACCCGGCCAAACATAGAATTACAAGACCTAGACTGAGAACATAGAAAATACAACATAGAACTCCACACCCTGACTCAACATACAAGAGTCCCATGAGTCAGGGCGTGACAGTACCCCCCCCCCCCCCCAAAGGTGCGGACTCCGACCGCACCAACCTGACATAACAGGTAAGGGTCCGGGTGGGCATTCCGCCTCGGAGGCGGATCCGGCTCCGGGCGTGACGACCCCATACTCTCAACCTCCCCGTTGCGCCCCTGGTCTGGTCTGGACCTCGGCGCGCTGCCTCCCCTCTCCTTCCTCCCACGACGTACCAAGCCCTGTCTGGACCCTGGGTGGGAGACCCCGAACCTGGAGAGGGGCTGACGTCTGGGTCTGGACTGGAGCCGCTGACCGGAGCTGAACTGGGCACCTGTGGAGCGGACTACTCTGGCTCCGGACTGGAGCCGCTGACCGGAGCTGGACTGGGCACTGGTGGAGCGGGCTGCGGACTGCTCTGGCTCCGGAGTGGAGCTGCTGACCGGAGCTGTACTGTGCACCGGTGGAGCGGACTGCTCTGTCTCCGGAGTGGAGCTGCTGACCGGAGCTGGACTGGACCCCGGTGGAGCGGACTGCTCTGGTTCCGGAGTGGATCCGCTGACCGGAGCTGGATTAGGCACCGATGGAGCGGACTGCTCTGGCTCCGGATTGGAACCGCTGACCGGAGCTGGACTGGGCACCGGTGAAGCGGACTGCTCTGACTCCGGAGTGGAGCAGCTGACCGGAGCTGGACTTGACCCCGGTGGAGCGGACTGCTCTGGCTCCGGAGTGGAGCAGCTGACCGGTGTCGGACCAGGCACCGGACTGGACACACGCACCACTGGTCTGGTGCGAGGAGCAGGCACGGGCCGGGCCGGACCGGACTCGGGACACACACCACTGGATTGGTGCGGGGAGCAGGTACGGGGCATACCGGGCTGGCGACACACACCACTGGCTTGGTGCGGGGAACAGGAACGGGCCGGACTGGGAACACGCACCACTGGCTTGGTGCGGGGAGCAGGCACGGGCCGTACCAGACTGGGAACACGCACCACTGGCTTGGTGCGAGGAACAGGAACGGGCCGGACTGGGAACACGCACCACTGGCTTGGTGCGAGGAGCAGGAACGGGCCGTACCGGGCTAGCGACACGCACCACTTGCTTGGTGCGGGGAGCAGGCACGGGCCGTAGCGGACTGGGAACAAGCACCACTGGCTTGGTGCGAGACGCAGGCACGAGGTGTACCGGACTGGGAACTGACGTTAGAGATCTCCGACTGTACCAGTCTTTCACTCTCCGCGCCCAGTCCTCCTCCCGTGAGGACTCCTCCCTGAGCCCCCACGAGTGCAGTGGTCGGGGCTCTTCTCCATCGATCCCCGACCACCCTTCTAGCCCCCACAAAAACATTTATTGGGGCTGTCTCTCTTGCTTCTTCCTCGGCCGGCGCCTTCTGCGTTGCCGTTGCTCCTCTCTAAACTGGGCGTCCACTGTCTCCTCCCAAGGATGGCGATCCATCCCAGCCTGAATCTCCTCCCATGTCCAGAATCCCTATCCGTCCAGGATCTCCTCCCATGTCCAGGCTGTCTGCTTCTGGGAACGCTGCTTGGTCCGTGTTTGGTGGGATCTTCCATCACGTTCGTTGAAGGACGGGTCAGACCAAGGCGCAGCGTGAAATGCGTACATGTTTATTACAACGATAAACACACTAACAAAACAACAAACCAACAAAACGTGAAGTCCTAAGGCTAAACACAAAACAAGCCTACTCACGGAACAAGATCCCACAACTAATGATTGCCAACAGGCTGCCTAAGTATGATCCCCAATCAGAGACAACGAGCGACAGCTGCCTCTGATTGGGAATCACACCCGGCCAAACATAGAAACACACAACATAGAATGCAAACATATAAATACTAACATAGATATCCACACCCTGACTCAACGTACAAGAGTCCCATAAGTCAGGGCGTGACACAAAGGTTCTGAATACTTATGTAAATAAGGTATTTCTGTTTTTTGTATTTAATACATTTGCAAAAATTTCGAAAAAACTGTTTTTGCTTTGTGATGATGGGGTATTGTGTGTAGATTGCTGAGGAAATTGTTTTATTTAATCAATTTAAGAATAAGGCTGTAACGTAACAAAATGTGGAAAAAGTCAAGGGGTCTGAATACTTTCCGAAGGCACTGTGTGTTTTTCTGTTCTGTTTCTATTCTATTCTATTTTGTATTATATTCAATTATATTATATCCTGTCCTATCCTATACTGTTTTATTCTAACATGCATTATATTCTATTCTACCTGTATTATATTATATTATATTATATTATATCAGTTAATGATTTATTAGTTAATTTTTATACTGTGCCAGTGCAGCTTGATTCTTCCTTCACGTAGAGGTTAACATCATGTATATGGGCATCATATATGCGCTTTTCTGTATTTAACCTTGCAAGACATCTCAAGAGATGCTGGACAGAAAATACCTATAGAAAAAATACAAAAGGGCCCAGACACTCAACACCTCATACTGTACATTCATAATGGTATTGGTTGAAAATAATATATTTTCGATGGTCCACTGCTTTCAGTCTGTCATATAGGCAATTCCACCCATGCAGTTCATGTTGATATATTTGAATTATCATACACTTTCTTACTGTTTATTAAAGCAGTGGCTCAAGTGTCTTTGCAGATGCTAAGGTGCGTGCCAACACTCTCCTTTTGGTGAGTGTTAATTGTTTCGATTGTCTTATATGAGGATTGGACGGTATTCGGCTGCAGCTTTGGGTTCAGAGACAAGCACTTTATCACCAGCCTGACCTTTGACCTTTAACCCAACCTGACCTTCCTTGTGACACTCCACAGGTGCTTAGCAATGAGAACATCCTGACGCTCAAGGCGGTGAGGCAGGATGATGCTGGGAAGTACGTATGCCGGGCGGTGGTTCCCCGAGTTGGAGCTGGAGAAAAGGAAGTGTCCCTCACTGTGAATGGTAAGTGCACTTGACATCAGGATGAATGCCAAATTCATTTCCAAGCTGGATCCCACTGGGCAAAGACGTAAGTTCAACATTTAGTTTTGATTTAATTTTGGTTGAGTTGTCAACTAACATGAATTCAATGTGAAATCAACAAAAAATGTCACCATGTCATTAGATTTAGGTTAAAAGTTGTGTGAAGAAAAACAAAATTCCCATCAATTATGGCCTTTTAAAAATCCAATCAGTTTTCCACATTGATTTAACTTCATCACATTACATTTTGGGGTTGAAATGACATGGAAACCACATTGATTCAACTAGTTTTTGCCCAGTGGGATGTGGAAGCTGTTCCAAGCTCAGGGACATGTTTCAGGCTAGCTGGACTCGGGGACAACAAAGTAAAAGCAGATACATATTTACAATAGTGGTGTCAAGATCAGTGGGTCATAATGTAGTTTCCTTTTAACGAGGTGAAAAAAAAGCATGGATTTGATCACAGCTAGGACTGTAACTTAGTAAGTAGAAATGAACTGTAACTGTTTAGAGGTAAGGCTATCATCTGTCATATCAAAATGGTTGTCAATCATCATTGATACCCGATACTATCATAATATCGCCCAACTCTGCGCAACTCTGCTCCTATATACTGTATTTATTTGGACAATGAAGCTAAAAAGTTTAATTTGACTCTATACTCCAGCATTTTGAATTTAAAATAAAATGTTTTATATGAGGTGAAAGTACAGAATGTCGCCTTATATTTGAGGGTATTTTCATAGGTATCTCTTTTACCGTTTAGAAATGAATGCACTTTATCTATCTAGTCCCCCCATTTGAAGGTGTCAAGTATGGACAAATTCACTTATAGTGTATTACATTTATTCAAAAGTATAGTATTTGGTCGCATATTCCTCGCACACAATGACTACATCAAGCTTCTGACTGTAAAAACTTGTTGGAGGAATTTGCAGTTTTGGTTGTGTTTCGGTTTATGTTCTGTCCAATAGAAATGAATGGTAAATAATGTATTGTGTCATTTTTGGAGTCACTTTTATTGTAAATAAAAATAGAATATGTTTCTGAACACTTCTACATTCATGTGGATGCTACCATGATTACGGATAATCATCAATAAAATCAAATCAAATTTTATTTGCCACATGCGCTGAATACAACAGGTGTAGACCTTACAGTGAAATGCTTACTTACAAGCCCTTAACCAACAATGCATTTTTTAAAGAAAATAAAACAAGTGTTAAGTAAAAAAGAGAGAAATAGAAAATAGCAAATAATTAAGGAGCAGCAGTAAAATAAAATAACAGTAGGGAGGTTATATACAGAGGGTACCGGTACAGAGTCGATGTGCGGGGGCACCGGTTAGTCCAGGTAATTGAGGTAATATGTACATGTGGGTAGAGTTAAAGTGACTATGCATAAATAATAAACTGAGTAGCAACAGCATAAAAGAGGGGTTGGGGTGGGGTGGGGCGGCAATGCAAATAGTCCGGGTAGCCATGATTAGCTGTTCAGGAGTCTTATGGCTTGGGGGTTGAAGCTGTTAAGAAGCCTCTTGGACCTAGACTTGGCGCTCCGGTACCGCTTGCCGTGTGGTAGCAGAGAGAACAGTATATGACTAGGGTAGCTGGAGTCTTTGACAATTTTTAGGCCCTTCCTCTGACACCGCCTGTAATAGAGGTCCTGGATGGCAGGAAGCTTGGCCCCAGTGATGTACTGGGCCGTACGCACTACCCTCTGTAGTGCCTTGCGGTCGGAGGCTGAGCAGTTGCCATACCAGGCGGTGATGCAACCAGTCAAGATGCTCTCGATGGGGCAGCTGTATAACTTTTTGAGGATCTGAGGACCCATGCCAAATCTTTTCAGTCTCCTGAGGGGAAATAGGTGTTGTCGTGCCCTCTTCACGACTGTCTTGGTGTGTTTGGACCAAGATAGTTTATTGGTGATGTGGACACCAAGGAACTTGAAGCTCTCAACCTGTTCCACTACAGCCCTGTCGATGAGAATGGGGGCGTGCTCAGTCCTCTTTTTTTCCCCTGTAGTCCACAATCATCTCCTTTGTCTTGATCACGTTGAGGGAGAGGTTATTATCCTGGCACCACACGGCCAGGTCATCATTGTCGGTGATCAGGCCTAACACTGTTGTGTCGTCTGCAAACTTAATGATGGTGTTGGAGTCGTGCCTGGCCATGCAGTCATGAGTGAACAGGGAGTACAGGAGGGGACTGAGCATGCACCCCTTAGGGGCCTCCGTGTTGAGGATCAGCGTGGCAGATGTGTTGTTACCTTATCCTTACCACCTGGGGGTGGCCCGTCAGGAAGTCCATGATCCAGTTGCAGAGGGAGGTGTTTAGTCCCAGGGTCCTTATCTTAGTGATGAGCTTTGAGGGCACTATGGTGTTGAACGCTGAGCTGTAGTCAATGAATAGCATTCTCACGTAGGTGTTCCTCTTGTCCAGGTGGGAAAGGGCAGTGTGGAGTGCAATAGAGATTGCATCATCTGGGGATCTGTTGGGGCGGTATGCAAATTCGAGTGGGTCTACGGTTTCTGGGATAATGGTGTTGATGTGAGCCATGACCAGCCTTTCAAAGCACGTCATGGCTTAGTTTTCAAGCCCTGCCACATCCGACGAGCGTCAGCGCCGGTGTAGTACGATTCAATCTTAGTCTTGTATTGACTCTTTGCCTTTTTGATGGTTCGTCGGAGGGCATAGCGGGATTTCTTATAAGCGTCCGGGTTAGAGTCCCACTCCTTGAAAGTGGCAGCTCTACCCTTTAGCTCAGTGCGGATGTTGCCTGTAATCCATGGCTTCTGTTTGGGGTATGTACGTACAGTCACTGTGGGGACGACGTCATCGATGCACTTATTGATGAAGTCAGTGACTGATGTGGTGTACTCCTCAATGCTATCGGAAGAATCCCGGAACATATTCCAGTCTGTGCTAGCAAAACAGTCCTGTAGCTTAGCATCTGCGTCATCTGACCACTTCCTTATTAACCGAGTCACTGGTGCTTCCTGCTTTAGTTTTTGCTTCTAAGCAGGAATCAGGAGGATAGAGTTATGGTCAGATTTGCCAAATGGAGGGCGAGGGAGAGCTTTGTACACGTCTCTGTGTGTGGGGTAAAGGTGGTCTAGAGTTTTTTTCCTCTGGTTGCACATTGAACATGCTGGTAGAAATTAGGTAGAACAGATTTAAGTTTCCCTGTATTAAAGTCCCCATGAATGAATTGTGAATAATGATGAGTGAGAAAATTACAGATGCACAACCTTTTTTAACTAATCAATAAATAGTAAACAAAGACAGTTGTTTAATATGCCTGAAGACTGTGCAAGTCAGGCAATCGATGGCGAACTCTATCGACAAACTCCTCTGTACAAGCAGAATTTCTGAAGCCGGGATGTCATCATAGAATTCATGGCACAAGAATAGCAGGGGCGTAGGTATACACAAAAAGGCTAACTTGAAATGGTACTTCCCCCCCCCCCCCCCCCTCCCTTGCCAACGGGGGCCTTTTATTGTCTGCTCTCATTGCAGGTTTAACCAGTCAATGAAAAGTTCTGGAGGCATGTAGATTAACTGTTTTGATGAAACTTTCACCTTTCAGCCCATACAGTGTAATACATTTCTGCTATAGCAAAGCAATAAGAGAGAGAGGTTTGGCGCTTATGAATATCTCCTTCCTTGTGAAGGAGGCTTATTCTCTCCTTGAAGCTTGTGTCAGGAAGTCCATTATTTGACTGAAAAGGTGTAGCATTTTGCCAGAAGGGTTTTCGCGCTAAACCCACCCATCACCATCGTTTCTGAGAGGAGGCTGATTGGACAGGTTATGGTTAAGACTGATATTGTAAAGTAAAACAATGGTGAAACAGAGTATATCAGTTTAGATTCCAGGCTAGTGAATCTTCAATTTCAACAACAAACAAGTAACAACCTTTCTCCTCTCCTTTCCTCTCATTTCTACATTTACATTTTAGTCATTTAGCAGACACTCTTATCCAAAGTGATTGACATTTACATCTTAAGATAGCAGGGTGAGACAACCACATGTCATAGTAAGTACATTTTTCCTGAATTAAGAAGTTGTCAGTGCTAGTAGGAAAAGACATCCCACCCTGTCTTCCTCCTCCGGCAGCTCAGGAGAGCTGCTCCAAGGCTGAGGCTGAGAGATAAAGTAATCTAATAATAGCACTCATTTGCCCCGTCCCTTGTCAGATCTCTCGGACCACACAGGACTCCTGTGTGAATACGTTAGGCTGTATAGAGAATCCCATTTTGCACTGGAAAGCCCCCCTTCCTCAGAAAAACCCCCACTTTTTGTTCCTGTCCATAACTACTACTACTACTACTGCTACTACTACTACTACTAATGATAATAATAATAGTACATTTAATTTGTATAGCACTTTTCATTACAGAGTTATCTCAAAGCTCTGCAAAAAAAGGTATACAATAAAAACAACATACATTTAGAATCAAGGCAGATAAAATAGCAATAGTGGGCTAGGTGTTAAATACATTTTAGATTGGGACTAGGACTATGAAAAAGATAGTCTGTAGAAGTAGGTTTTAAGGCAAGTTTTAAAAGTTCTGAGTGATGGAGCAGCTCTCAGATGGTCCCATAGGCAAGGGACAAGGGAGCAGAAGGCTCGGTCCCGCATAGTTCGGAGACGTGTCTTGGGGAGTTGAAGCAGTAGGGAGTAGCTGGGGCAGAGAGTGCGAGTGCGAGGTGGCTCGGTGATTGAGATGAGGTCACTGATGTAGGTGGGGCTCAATCCATTCAAGGCTTTAAATACAAGCATGAGAATTTTGAAGTCAACACTTTAGTGATGTGATCTGACTTCTTGGTCCTGGTCAGGACCCTGGCAGCACTGTTCTGGATTAGTTGGAGCCTCTGTAGTGATTTGTCTGGGAGGCCCCCAAACAGCGCATTACCGTAGTCGATCCGAGAGAAGATAAACGTGTGGATGAGTTTCTCTGCATCTGGCTGGGAGAGTGACGGTATGACCCGGGCAAAGTTTTTCAGGTGGAAAAATTATATTTTACATATTTGTTTTTTGTGGGCATCGAAGGACAGCAAAGGATCAAGCTTGACTCCTAGGTTGAAGATGACAGAGGTCAGGTGGATGACCTGGCCATTGATTGTAGGGCAGATGTTTCCAGCACTGGTGACCTACTCCAGTGTCCCAATAAGCATAGTCTCAGTCTTGCTACTGTTCAACTGGAGGAAGTTCTCTTTCATCCATGCCCTGATGTCCTCTAGGCAGCTTCTGAGTTTTGCTAGGGCAAAGATTGTTTCCGGTTTGGTGTTAATGTAGACCTGGGTCTCGTCAGTGTAGCAGTGGAAGTTGATGTTATAATCTCTGAGTATTTGTCCGAGAGAGAATATGTACATTAAAAACAGGATAGGCCCCAGCACTGACCCCTGTGGGACGCCACATGTGACGGCAGACTCCTCCAATCTGGAATCTACAATAGTAATGTATTGCTTCCTATTGGAGAAGTAGGAGGAGAACCAGTTCAGAGCTGTTCCAGAGACAGCAGTGTGCTCTCTGAGATACCGCAGGAGGATACTGTGGTCTATGGTGTCAAAAGCAGCACTGAGATCTAAGAGGAGGAGGATGCTAGGAGATCCAGAATCAACAGCCACCAATCAGTCGGTTGTTGGTAACTTTAACCAGAGCTGTTTCGGTGCTGTGCAAGGGCCAGACTGGAAAACCTTGTGCCACTGGTTAGATGACAGATGCGATTGAAGCTGGTTTGCAACCACTTTCTCCAGTGCTTTTGATAGGAAGGGGAGGTTGGAGATGGACCTGTAGTTGGATAGGATGTCCTGGTCAAGGTTGGGTTTCTTCAGTAAGGGGGTGGCTGCAGCTGTTTTGAAGATCGATGATACCTCTCCCGTCAGCAGGGACTTGTTGATCAGTTTGGTGACAAACATAAGCAGGCTACATTAGCAGGTTTTGAGTAGGGATGTAGGTATAGGGTCAAGGGAGCAAGTGGTGGCCTTCATTTTAGAGATGATTGACTGCCCAGCAGCAGATGTGACTTCTGTAAAGTTGCTAAAGGGAGGGGCAGTCTGGGTTTGGGGGTTCAGGAGGTGGGATGCAGGCCATTTTAGAGGCCATGATGTTTGTCCTGATGGTATCAATCTTTGTCTTGAAAAAATCTGAGTAGTGATTGCACTGCTCAAATTAGGCTGCAGGAGAGCATGAGTTTGCAGGTTTGAAAAGGCAGTTGATGGTAGAGAACAGGGTTCTGGGGTTACCTTTGTTATTGTCAATCATGGCAGAGTAGAAGGCTGATCAAGCTGCTTTTAAGCAGAGTAGCTTGCCTTTATAGGCCAGTCGGTGGACAGTGAGGCCATCCTTCCTCCAATGTCGCTCAAGCTTATGGCGATGAGTCTTCATTCTGTGCAGTTCATCAGTGAACCAAGGAGACGACCTCTGGAATGTTACTTCACATGTTTTTCAGGGGCAAGGATGTTCAGGGTCTTACTCAGAGTGCTGTTATACAGATTGACCAGATCACTGCAGTCAGATTGCAGAATTTAATGATCCTCTTTGGGCGGTAGAGAGGAGTTGGAGCGGTCAGAGACAGTGTCACAGCCTTGTGGTCAGAGACACGTAGCTCGATGACACTCAAGTCAGAGACATCGGCAGTGATAATGAGGTCCGCGGTTTTGGTTTGGAACATTTACATGTTGCACAAGGTTTAGACAGGGGAAAGAGAAAGTTCTGTTGTCTTAAAGTGTCCAACATTCTGCAGGAACGCAGTTGCAAGAATAGCAGCCCTTTTAGGAATGGAATGCTAACTATAATTGGTAGCTGTGGTGGACAAATAAAACAGTATGTGGACTATGCTGCCATTGTCCAATTAAATTATGATACTACCTCTGCTAAAAAAGCATTACGAACTACAATAATCACCTGAAAAAGTCAGCGGTACCTCAAAGGAAGCCAGGTATTATTTCCTCCTCCCATTTTTTACTTTCAGTTTATGTCTGTTTTGCTTCTGTAAACATTGACACAGAATTCAGACCCCTGGGTTTTGTTGAGTGAAATGCGGCTGCAGTTGAATGGAAAGAAAAAAGAGAATGTTTGTTATTCTCATAGTCAGCAGTTCTGGAATTAGCAAGAGCTCCTTGAGTGGGGAGTCTGTCATCGTCACCATGTGTCAGTCAAAGGTCACACATTTCAAAGGTTTCCTTTCACAGGCGGAGGAAAAGAAATAGAACTAACACACAGGACGGCAAACTGGAATATGACTTCATTTTCTCTAGCCCTTAATCTAACCCATTGTCCTCCGCTGTCCACCCCTCCCTCCCTCCAACCCTTCTACATTTCTCAGTCTCTTTCTTTGCCTTTTAGCAATAAAAAACAACCCGCTTTTCATCGTGCCGGGAATCTCACCTTAAGAATAACAAATTAGTCTCATCATGAATAATTGATCATCTCCATTTGACTGTAAACTCAAATCAATTATAATGTCTGTGCCCTTTGCCGTCCCCCGCCGTGGCACCATTAAAGTGTGCCATCTGATAGGCCAGTGATGTATGTGAGTGTTTTATTGACTGGTTTTCCCTTGACCGTGCTGTAGGTCCTCCCACTATCTCCAGCACCCAGACGCAGCAAGCCCTCTACGGGGAGAAGGGGCAGATCAAGTGTTTCATCCGCAGCACTCCTCCTCCCGACCGCATTGTGAGTCACTCATCCCTCCTTCCTTCTAAAAACATTTATTTTAAAGACTGAGTTTGGGCTGTCTGTGTTCCAACCAATGAGGGGCCTTATTGGTTGAAACATGGTGAAGACATGACTCAGTGTAGACCGTGTTCACGCTTCAATGAATTACAGTGGACATTTTTTATGAATAGAATGTGAAGGTTTTTCCAAATTATTGTGAAGGATAGGTGGCATGGCAAGAAAGGATCCCAATGAATCAAAAAGCAATTGGATGGAATCCTTGCACATAAAATGATTTACTGAAGTTATGTACTCTTGCGACATACAGTGCCTTCAGAAAGTATTCAAACCCCTTGACTTCTTCCACATTTTGTTGTGTTACAGAGTGGGATTAAAATGGATTTGTCTTTTTTTATTAATGGAAAATAAAACACTAATATAAAGTATCTTGATTAGATAAGTATTCAACCTCCTGAGTCAATACATGTTAGAATCACCGTTGGCAGCGATTACAGCTGTGAGTCTTTCTGGGTAAGAGCTTTGCACACCTGGATTCTACAATATTTGCCCATTATTGTTAAAACCTTTTTTCAAGCTCTGTCAAGTTGGTTGTTGAACATTGCTACACAGCCATTTTCAAGTCTTGCCGTAGAGGAACATTCAATGTCATCTTGGAAGCAACTCCAGTGTATATTTTGACCTGCTGAAAGGGGAATTTGTCTCCCAGTATCTGTTGGAAAGCAGACTGAACCAACAATTTTTCCTGTTCTTAGCACTATACCATTTATTTTTTTAAAGAAAACTCCCTAGTCCTTGCCGATGACAAGCATACCTATAACATGATACAGCCACCACCGTGCTTGAAAATATGAAGAAGAGTGGTACTCAGTGATGTGCTGTGTTGGATTTGCCCCAAACATAATGCTTTGTATTCAGGACATTAAGTTTATTTCTTTGCCACTATTTTTTTAGTGTTACCTTAGAGCCTTATTACAAACAGGATGCTTGTTTTGGAATATTTTTATTCTGAACAGGCTTCCTTCTTTCCACTCTGTCAGTATGTTAGTATTGTGGAGTAATTACAATGTTTTTGATCCATCCTCTGTTAGCGCCTATCACAGCCATTAACCTTTTCACACGTACCAACAAACAGGTGTGATCATTCTACAGTGGTCCCTGCAGCGTACACTCAAACTGGTGTGATTAGAATGTTTATTTAGAACGTCCAGTTTCAATTGACTCAACAGTCAGCATTTGAGTTGGCCACACTGTTTGTTCACAGAAACATGTTGCACATAGTCCTTACAAAGTCATGTCCTTAATGTGACCAGTTTATTTTTAGATGCAATGTTCAGACATTCACAGAAGTAGTGACAGCATACACAATCATCCAAACCGGAAAATGTAGGCTACATTAGTCCTAGCGCTAACTTAGGAAAGATTGAGTTAACACAAGCGGTCATATTTAGATAACTCTCGACTGACAGAAACCACAAAATGAATTAGGTAAAAGCAATTACTATTTATAATTCATCACATCACGGGTGAGCTCACCATTGATCCAAATAATTTAGTAAAACACTTTCTAATAATCGAAAGTAATCCGATGATGACGGGTAGTTTGTGCTCGCCACCATGTTTGTTTTTTCGCTTCAACCAAAGATAATAAGAGGAGACAATATGAGTGTGGTCTGCTTGCAGTATGCATGTTGAAGGAGGTGTGTCATCTAGGATCATTCACTTCCCTTCATTCAAGATGAGAGAACAATTCCTTCACCTCAGTATAACATATTTGGTCTGACAGACGTTTACGTGACACCCAGAATGCATTGTATAATGTCAACAAACATGGCGCCACACATAGCTGGCAAATAGCTTAGCATTAGCTCATTATAATCAGTACAACCTTCAAAAAAATATTTTACACACATCATAGGTGTCCATTACAATCTATGCAATAATCCGAATGCGTTAATTGTCACCAGTACTGGAAAACACGTGAAGAAAACCGTAAATGCCAGCCAGAAAATATGCCAGTTTGTGCAAGAATGCACAAATGTCTGCATTCTTGATCTGCGGAAACACTAGGGATGTGCTTGGGCTCTCCTCGAAGAGAGAACTTTGTCCGGCTCAGTAAAGCCTCAAACATAAATTGTCCGCAACACTGAAATGGGCTACTTCTATGTGAATTAATGAAGGCGGAACACACCTCAATTCAAACATGTTAAATTTTTAATCATTTAGCAGACGCTCTTATCCAGAGCGACTTACAGTTAGTGAGTGCATACATTATTTTTTATTTTTCATACCCCCCGTGGGAATCGAACCCACAACCCTGGCGTTGCAAAAGCCATGCTTTACCAACTGAGCTACATCCCTGCCTGCCATTCCCTCCCCTACCCTGGGCCAATTGTGCACCGCCCCATGGGTCTCCCGGTCGCAGCCGGCTACGACAGAGCCTGGATTCAAACCAGGATCTCTAGTGTCACAGCTAGCACTGCGATGCAGTGCCTTAGACCACTGCGCCACTTGTCAATTTCAAATTGACAAGTTGAAATATAGCCTATAGATAATTAGCAAGCAGAGCATGTTAACACTTTACATTTGAGTCATTTAGCAGATGCTCTTATCCAGAGCAACTTACCGTTAGTGAGTGCATACATGTTTATTTTTCATTTTTTCTTCATACTTTCATAGTTATCTGTCCTGTTGTGTAACAATCACATTTTGGAACAGTGTGTGCATTGTGACATCACGTGTATAAAACAACTCACGCTGGGGTGACTGTTAGAGATATTTGGAACTCACATGTGAAAAGGTTAAACTGTAACTGTTTTAAAATCACCATTGGACTCATGGTGAAATCCCTGGGCGAGTTAGGAAAGGCGTCTGTATCTTTGTAGTGACTGGGTGTATTGATAAACCATCCAAAGTGTAATTAATAACTGCACCATGCTTAAAGGGATATTCAATATCAGTTTTGTATTGTTTTTTTTACCCATCTACCATTAGGTGCCTATATTTGCGAACCATTGAAAAACCTCCCTGGTCTTTAATACAAAATGAAAAATAAGTATTCAAACCTTTTGTTATGGCAAGCCTAAATAAGTTCAGGAGTAAAAATGTGCTTAACAAGTCACATAATAAGTTGCATGGACTCACTCTGTGTGTGATAATAGTGTTTAACATGCTTTTTAAATGACTTCCCCATCTCTGTACCCCATACATACAATTATCTGTAAGGTCCCTCAGTCGAATAGTGCATTTCAGCACAGATTCAAGTACAATTTGTAAACATTTCTAAAAACATAATTTCACTTTGACAGTATGAGGTATTGTGTGTAGGCTAGTGACACACAATCTCAATTTAACCTATTTTAAATTCAGACTGTAACACAACCAAATGTGGGAAAGCATGGGGTGTGAATACTTTCGATGGTACTGTAAGTTAAACAGTAGTTTCACTTCAAAATAGAAGCTTCAGAGACAAAACTAATTGGCAACAGAGCATGGTGTGCAATGCATTTTGACATCAGTATCTTCTTAAAGGGATAGTCCAAATTACACATTTACTTATTTGCTTCCTTAGCATTCCACAGCATGGATTGGTCTCTTACCTTCTAGACAGCTTACAGATTAAGTAAACCATTATGGTATTTTGTAATTTGGGATAACTATCCCTTTAAAGCAGTGCAAACCAAGTGAATGAGCTTGACCTAGGAAAGTAGGTCAGGTGAGGACAACCCTAAGGAATTTACGTAGACTAATCAAGGGCAAAGAATATCCTAATGAATATCCTATCCTATGGTAAACAAGAGGGCGTATTCCATAGAGAAAGAACTCATAGATATGTAGGCTAGCAATGGAATACATCAAGGGAAGTGAAGGCAAGTGAATAGACAATTAGAAGTCAGTCATCCTCATTTAGATAACAGCAGAATACCAAGCTGTTCCACAGCAGAAATGGGGGGATTTCTCCCAACCCAGACCTATACTAATACGTTTCCTGTTGTGAGTGAAAGTTCAATCTGAATATGCTCTCTATGCCATGTGGCTCAATGTCACCATGTCACACCAGAAGAGGTTTAATGTCCCCAATTGAAGCAATCAGAGGAGTGATTGGTGTGATCCTGACTGCATCCCAAATGGCAACCTATTCCCTACTTTAGACCAGGGCCCATTGTCACAACTAGAGAAATATATACACTCTAAAGAATGCTGTATCACTATAGTACATACCCAGCACTGGGTTATTTTGGGCCAGCACGGTTACTTGATTTACCCATAAATGTGGTTATTTTGAGCCAACAGTGTTTTTTAAAACTCTTTTGCTGGGTTATTGTTATTCATGTGTTTTTGACATAGCAGTGGGTTATTTCTTAATTTATTGCTGGGTAATCATTATTTGTATTTGTATTTATCGAGCAGTGGGTCATTTGTTACTTTCTTACTTCTAACAATAACAATCAATGTTAAAACGTTACTACACAGTCTATGAAATTGTTGAAGTGACATATGGCCAATCATGACAAATTGTAGATAAAATCCAAAAGTTTTATTTTCAGCTATTCATTTCAGCTACAAAATGAATCCATGCAAAAAAATAAACAACAAATAAGGAACACACAAATAAACAAAAACTTTAAAAGTACAATTGATAATTTGAAAATCACAGCAGCCCTACCAGTTAAAGCTGAGGAATGGGGCTGAAGAAAAGTAACCACTTTACCCTCTATTCCCCCAACCCCTACCAGCAGTGGTGTAGTAGAGGGTATACGCCGTATCAATTATTAAGGCTGATGGAACAGATCAGAATGTTTAGCTTAAAATGTTGATAAACTTTTCTTTCGTCACATTTTAGGCGCAGCGATATGCACACGGCAGTAGGCCTATGCGCGAATGTTCCAAAATAAAATGTTTCCTATACCTCAAAAGTGGTCTCCTGATGTGGTTTAAGCATTGTTGTGAACTTAGAACATCCAATTTAGTTGTTTTTCTATTAAAAGAGAAAAACCAAAAAAATTAAAAACTGTTATCAGAAACCTGTGAATTTCTGACTCAGTTGAAAGCCACATTTATCTGTTTCAATAGTAGGCCTACTATTAGCCGACTTGCACAGTACAGCTTATGTTGACCTGACTGTGAAAGACCAATATGGGATTTACATTTACACAAGGCGCCTTTCCTTCGAAGGGCGGGCCGTTTGGAAACATTTTGGCAAAATTTGAGTATACCCACTAATCCAGGCACCACCACACCACTGCCTACCACGTAACAATATTTAACATAATGTCTTCTGCCCTAGAGCCTGCCCATTCATGATGGTGAATGCCAGGGTGTAGAGGCGATTGTACTCGAGAGTCCGAACAAAGGGTTCGGGTCTCTTGTTCTTTTGGTCGTCTGGCGGAATATTCAGCCATATTGGTTCCAACCTGGGGATTAGAGAATATGATAGAGCTCAGTTGGTAGAGCATGGCACTTGCAACGGCAGGGTTGTGGGTTCGTTTCCCACGGGGGGCCAGTATGAAAATGTATGCACTCACTAACTGTAAGTCGCTCTGGATAAGAGTGTCTGCTAAATGACTAAAATGTAAAATGTAAAATCATTATAAAATGTTAAACAATAATCAAGGCACACATTACACTAAGTTTGCTAGCTAGCTAAGCTACATTGGGTAGCTGGCTAGCTAGGTAGCTGGCTAGCTAGCTACCTGACGTAGAATGATACACCACACAGTAGGCCTACAGAAGAAAAGCTTTCCTAGCTAGACACAGGAGTGGTACAGTCTTTTGACCATACACAGATTATTATCTATTATCTATGCTTTTTTTTTTTCTTTTTTTTTTTTTAGTTTTGTATGTTTTTTGTGTGTTTTATGTAGCTTTAAGTTGATCTGAAAATTATTTTTTATAGATCTGAAAGAAAAAAAAAGAAAAAATTGTTGCACCATATCCCTGGATCTCCGTGAATGCTTTTTGCCGTTTGGCTTTTGGTAACTTTGAATGTGGACTGTATTCGTCCAAAACAATGCCGCATCAGACTAGGGCAGTGGCTATGTTCAAATAGTAAGGAAGTCACTACAGGCCTCATGGTGAAATCCCTGAGCGGTTTCCTTTCTCTCTGGCAACTGAGTTAGAAGGGACGACTGTATCTTTGTAGTGACTGGGTGTATTGATACACCATCAAAAGTGTAATTAAGAACTTCACCATGCTCAAAGTATATTCATTGTCTGCTTTTTAATATTTTTACCCATCTACCAATAGGTTCAGATCTTTGGATAACCTCCCTGGTCTTTGTGGTTGAATCTGTGTTTGAAATGTACTACTCAACTGAGGGACCTTACAGATAATTGTATGTGTGGGGTATAGAGATGAGGTAGTCATTCAAAAATCATGCTAATCATTATTATAGGACACAGAGTGAGTCCATTCAACTTATTATGTGACTTGTTAAGCACATTTTTACTCCTGAACTTATTTAGGCTTGTCATAACAAAGGGGTTGAATAGTTAAGACATTTCAGCTTTTCATTTTGTATTAATTTGTAAACATTTCTAAAAACATAATTTCACTTTGACAGTATGGGGTATTGTGTGTAGGCCAGTGACACACAATCTCAATTTAATCCATTATAAATTCAGACTGTAACACAACAAAATGTGGGAAAGTATGGGGTGTGAATACTTTCGAAGGTAACTAGTGACAACCTTTAGCAAACGTTAGCTAAGTAGCTAGCTAGCTAATGCTCGAGCTAGCATGCATGGGGTTGCTAGCTAACATTATATAAAATTGTCAATGACTGAGAAAATATGTAATTATGATAGCTAGGTCTATTTAACCTGAATGGATAATTAGTAACCTTACTCACCGTTTTCCATCAGCCACAACGCCTTGTCCATTTGTCAGTCGAAAAGTAATTCCACTCAGCATCGGCTGCACTGGTAGACTTGCTACAGTTGCAACAGTCCTCAATCACAAGCTTCAAGATATCTTTGATCTTCTGGATTTGGTGGGAGAATTAACCCACTCACTGCGTCATTTCTCAATAACCCAACATCAATAACCCAGCATCTACAACCCAACCTTGCTCTTTTGAAAAAAAAACAACCCAACTTAGTGACTTTAAACTAGCAAATGGGTCATCCAAACAACCCAGCATTTGTTTGAGTGTATGGAATAGGGTGCCATTAGGACATAACCCCTGACTTTGTATTGCAGATAGAAATTGACAGCCATTAAACCAACCCAAAGGCTCATTATGCTCTTTATCTTTAATAGGTTTTGTTGGTTGGTTTCTGTCAGGTGCTGGTGTGTGGGATGTGCGTGTGTGGGTGCATATGTGTATATCTGGCAAGCATACAGCATGTGGCTGTGTTACGGTGTGCTTGTGTCCCCATCTGTAACGTATAATTCTCACAGTGTTTTCTGCCACAGGCCTGGTCGTGGAAGGAGACAGTCTTGGAGTCAGGGACGTCTGGCCGATACACCGTGGAGACGGTGAGCACAGAGGAGGGGGTCATCTCCACCCTCACCATGAGTAACATCGTCCCTGCTGACTTCCAGACCATCTACAACTGCACTGCCTGGAACAGCTTTGGGTCTGACACAGAGATCATTACACTGAAGGAACAAGGTACACAAACTCCCTTTGTACCACTTCAATCAATTCCTCATTCAATCAATGGCGGATGTGCATAAAGATGCCAGCTTTCATGCACTTACCATAAATGCCTTGTTTGCTAAGTTCACCATGTTATAGCTTTCTCTCTGTTACTCTAAAGGGCATCCGCACTGCGTGTTCTCTCAGAATGTTTATGCAGTGGACACGTGTGGTTTTGTCAAACGGTGTGGTCTGTGTTGGTACATGTATGTGGGTAGGCTGGTGGGTGAGAGAGTATGTGTTTGAGACAGAGATTTGGGATCTGAGAGAAAGTGGGTAAATTAAAGAGAGAGACGGAGAGAAGCAGAGAGTTTGTGTGTTTTGTGGAAGTGCACCTATGCCTGGGAGAGTAAGGATATTGCCGTGATTACTTCAAGCATGAGGGCAATGGCTTCGTGATAAGCCTTTTACTTGGTTAAATGTCAACAATTTCAATCTGTGAAATTTTGTAATGGCATCCAATTTGTAATCTAATTTACAACGCCTCAATTGGTTACAGCTTCACATATGATTTATTTGAAATATTTATTCTAAATGAGATGATGTTCTCTCATTTATTTGCCCCTTTTTATTAAGTCTCTTCCTTCTAAAGTGCTAAACTATCTGTTTTCATAGGGATCGTGGAAATGCCAATTCTGTAACAATTAATTTCAATGGAGGATCTTACTAGAGGCAACCTTGCTCTTAAAGTGAATTAATTAACTAGACCTCGACTAGCCACAGGCTTATACACTCATCTTTAAGACAACTCAGTTCAACCAATCAACCCCTGAAGCCTATGAACTTATTCACAACATTTAGAATACCATTTGTTATAAAGTGGTATACCTCTCAGCCATTTGAAGTAAATGGGTGTCACGAGTGTCAGTGCTGTAAATGGTAGTGTAAAAGGTTTTCAAAGTTTGCCATTCGCGAGTCGTGTTTTCCTTTGCATAGTTCAACATACAGTACGTGTTAGCCTTAATCTATACATTGAGTGTACAAAACATTAGGAACACCTTCCTAATATTGAGTTTTACTGCCTTTTGCCCTCAGAACAGCCTCAATTCGTCAGGGCATGGACTACAAGGTGTCGAAAAAGCGTTCCACAGGGATGCTGGCCCATGTTGACTCCAGTGCTTCCCACAGTTGTGTCAAGTTGGCTGGATGTCCTTTGGGTGGTGGACCATTCTTGATACACAAGGGAAACTGTTGAGCGTGAAATACCCAGCAGCGTTGCAGTTCTTGACACACTGAAACCAGTGCGCATGGCACCTACTACCATACCACTTCAATCTTTTGTATTGCCCATTCACCCTCTATATGGCACACATACACAATCCATGTCTCAATTGTCTTAAGGCTTAAAAATCCTTATTTAACCTGTCTCCCCTTAATCTACACTGATTGACGTGGAGTTAACAGGTGACAACCAATAAGGGATCATAGCTTTCACCTGGATTCACCTGGTCAGTTTACAGTGCATTCGGAAAGTATTCAGACCCCTTCCCTTTTCCCACATTTTGTTACATTACAAATAAAAAACTAAAATACCTTATTTACATAAGTATTCAGACCCTTTACTTTGAGACTCGAAATTGAGCACAGGTGCATCCTGTTTCCATTTATCATCCTTGAGATGTTTCTACAACTTGATTGGAGTCCACCTGTGGTAAATTCAATTGATTGGACATGATTTGGAAAGGCACACACCTGTCTATATAAGGTCCCACAGTTGACCGTGCATGTCAGAGCAAAAACCAAGCCATGAGGTCGAAGGAATTGTCTATAGAGCTCTGAGACAGGATTGTGTTGAGGCACAGATTTGGGGAAGGGTACCAAAACATTTCTGCAGCATTGAAGGTCCCCAAGAACACAGTGGCCTCCATCATTCTTAAATGAGTTTGGAACCACCAAGACTCTTCCTAGAGCTGGCTGCCCAGCCAAACTGAGCAATCGGGGGAGAAGGGCCTTGGTCAGGGTTCCTCTGTGGAGATGGGAGAATCTTCCAGAAGGACAACCATCTCTGCAGCACTCCACCAATCAGGTCTTTATGGTAGAGTGGCCAAACGGAAGCCACTCGTCAGTGAAAGGCACATGACAGCCCGCTTGGAGTTTGCCAAAAGTCACCTTAAGACTCTCAGACCATGAGAAAGAAGATTCTCTGGTCTGATGAAACCAATGTTGAACTCTTTGGCCTGAATGCCAAGTGTCATGTCTGGAGGAACCTGGCACCATCCGTACGGTGAAGCATGGTGGTGGCAGCATCATGCTGTGGGGAAATCTTTTCAGTGGCAGGGACTGGGAGATTGGTCAGGATCGAGGTAAAGATGAATGGAACAAAGTACAGAGAGATCCTTGATGAAAACCTGCTCAAGAGCACTCAGGACCTCAGACTGGGGTGAATGTTCACCTTCCAACAGGAAAGCGACCCTAAGCACACAGCCAAGACAACGCAGGAGTGGCTTTGGGACAAGTCTATGAATGTCCTTGAGTGGACCAGTCAGAGCCCGGACTTGAACCTGATTGAACATCTCTGGAGAGACCTGAAAATAGCTGTGCAGCGACGCTCCCCATCCAACATGACAGAGCTTAAGAGGATCTGCAGAGAAGAATGGGAGAAACTCCCCAAATACAGGTGTGCCAAACTTGTAGCGTCATACCCAAGAAGACTCGAGGCTGTAATCGCTGCCAAAGGTGCTTCAACAAAGTACTGAGTAAAGGGTCTGAATACTTATGTAAATGTAATATTTCAATGATTTATTTTTAGCACATTTGCAAAAATTTCTAAAAAACTGGTTTTGCTTTGTCATTATGGGGTGTTGTGTGTAGATTGATGAGGGGGGAAAAAAACAATTTAATCAATTTTTGAATAAGGCTGCAACGTAACAACATGTGGAAAAAGTCAAGTGGCCTGAATACTTTCCGAATGCACTGTATGTCAGTGGTTCCCAACTCCGGTCCTCGAGTACCCCCAACAGTACACCTTTTACATTTACATTTACATTTTAGTCATTTAGCAGACGCTCTTATCCAGAGCGACTTACAGGAGCAATTAGGGTTAAGTGCCTTGCTCAAGGGCACATTAACGTCATTTAGCAGACGCTCTTAGCCAGAGCGACTCACAAATTGGTGCGTTCACCCTATAGCCAGTGGGATAACCACTTTACAATTTGGGGGGGGGGGGGGGGGGGGGGGGGGGGGGGGGGGGTTAGAAGGAATACTTTATCCTATCCCAGGTATTCCTTAAAGAGGTGGGGTTTCAAATGTCTCCGGAAGGTGGTGAGTGACTCCGCTGTCCTGGCGTCGTGAGGGAGCTTGTTCCACCATTGGGGTGCCAGAGCAGCGAACAGTTTTGACTGGGCTGAGCGGGAGCTATGCTTCCGCAGAGGAAGGGGAGCCAGCAGGCCAGAGGTGGATGAACGCAATGCCCTCGTTTGGGTGTAGGGACTGATCAGAGCCTGAAGGTACAGAGGTGCCGTTCCCCTCACTGCTCCATAGGCAAGCACCATGGTCTTGTAGCGGATGCGAGCTTCAACTGGAAGCCAGTGGAGTGTGCGGAGGAGGGGGGTGACGTGAGAGAACTTGGGAAACTTTTGATTGTAGCCCTGGACAAGTACACCTGATTAAACTTGTCAACTAACCATCAGGCCATCAATGAGTTGAATCAGGTATGTTTGTCCGGGGCGACAACAAAAATGGTTCCCAACTCAAGTACTCGAGTTGGGAACAACTGGTATTTGTCATGGAAAGAGCAGTTCCTAATGTTTTGTACACACAGTGTATATGACATGATGTAAGACTACTGTGGTTCAAAACAATGTGTCCCTTGATTTTTTTTCTTGCATCAGCTGTGTGACACTGATAGTCCAACTGCATGACTGAACCACCTTGTACGGTGTCCATATTAGTATGATGTCCATATCAGCCTCAGTCTCATCAGGACTCCTAATATAGACACCGTACCAATGTCTTTCCTCCATGTCTTCTCAGAGTCCCTCCGATTGGCTGTAGTCATAGGAGTGGCTGTGGGGGCCTTCCTTGCCCTTATTGTCCTCATGGGCACATTGGGTGCCTTCTGCTGTGCCCGCTTCCAGAGGAGTAAGTGCATTTTAAAACCCTATGCTTTCTGGGACAGCCAAAGAGTTCATTAGACACTCTTGGTTTCACGGTCAAAGGGTTTACTATGCTCTGTAGTGCTTAATATGAGTCCCATTGGTGTTAGGATATCAACTCAAATATAAGAAATCCTTTGAGATTACACATTTGATGGGACATAAATCTCAACCTGAAACTATGGAAATTCTATTTCCCTCCCTTTAAAACATATCTATTGCAAAAGTGCCCATTTAAGGATCCAAAAAGCTGAGAGTTATCTGCAGCCAGACTCTAACATAATACGTATTGCTTGACGCTGTCTTGCTCTAAAGCAATATCCTTATCTGATTTAAAGCCCATCCTATACAGTGGGGTGTAGAGATACAGCGCATAGATATCTGATCAATGTAGACGGTTGTTGTTGTTGTTGTTATTTACAACAGAAGATGTTCAGTGTAGAGATACTGCACACAGATATTTGATCAATGTAGACGGTTGTTGTTGTTATTGTTGTTGCTGTTGTTTACAACAGAAGACGTTCAGTGTAGAGATACAGCGCAGAGATATCTGATCAATGTAGACGGTTGTTGTTGTTGTTGTTGTTGCTGTTGTTTACAACAGAAGACGTTCAGTGTAGAGATACAGCGCAGAGATATCTGATCAATGTAGACGGTTGTTGTTGTTGTTGTTGTTGCTGTTGTTTACAACAGAAGACGTTCAGTGTAGAGATACAGCGCAGAGATATCTGATCAATGTAGACGGTTGTTGTTGTTGTTGTTGTTGCTGTTGTTTACAACAGAAGACGTTCAGTGTAGAGATACAGCGCAGAGATATCTGATCAATGTAGATGGTTGTTGTTGTTGTTGTTGCTGTTGTTTACAACAGAAGACGTTCAGTGTAGAGATACAGCGCAGAGATATCCGGTCAATGTTAACTGCTGTTAACCATGTTGTTGTTATTGTTGTTTACCACAGAAGACGTTCACCTCGTCATGTCCTCCCTACCCGTCTCCATCTCCTCTTGCCAGAGAGACCTGGCAGGCAAAATGAAAACCGAGAGTAAGTCACCTTTGTATATAGGTCCCTTCAAGATACTGCGATGGATATTTTGTTGTTGTTGCAAAATCAACAATTCCCTGCATATTATGCGAGGGCTTGCTAATTTGACCAATCACTGCACCTTTTCCGCATAAATCAGTCAAATCATCGCAATATGTAATAAAAAGAAGGCTCACAATTTCAACCAATCACTGCACATTCACCGCATAGGGTTCAATCAAGCCACAAGTCAACAAATGTTTTCCCTCTAAAGCACATTTTCCCGAGAAATTTGACAAAATCATTGCATATTGCCATGCAAAATGTCAAAACTGCCGCGGCAAAAAATAATAATTGCGCGCAGATATCACACAAAACCCCAGCTAAATCCTGGAGGGACTGGTATATGATTGTTTATGATTTTACAATGTCAGAGGCAGTCGATAAAGCAATTATGTTTATTTCACTAGTGCCATGCATACGTGTTACATAAATATCCATGTGATTAATGTCCATGAATGACAGTAGTCACTGCTGTCTGTTTAAGGAATAAGGAGCCTGCCAACATAAGGATATGATTGTACAGTATATGATTATCACCAATTTCAGTGACACTCTAGTATGCAGTCAGTGCCCTATGTAAGGTCTATAACACATAAATAAGCAGCACGACACCTTTATAATCTAAACATTCATAACTGCTTCAAGCTCCCATCAAGATATCTGATCAGCTTTTGACGCCGCTCGAATGTGGTATGATCCAGTGCCAGTCAACTTATGTCAGTGGTGCCCATCAGTTTCCCTGTCTCTTTCCAGATCTCAAAGGAGTGGTTTTGGCAAAAAACGACATCCGGGTGGAGATTGTTCACAAGGATCACAACGCAGCTCAGGAAACAGAGGAGCATACAGCCATCAAGCAGATAATGGTGAGTTGAATGCTATTCTACCTCATCTCTCCTCGCTGCATGTAATTTGCGAGTCCATCGATACACACTGTATGTAGTACATCAGAATCAATTGGAAATGTTCTAATCGACAGTTAATTGAAGAGCACTTTTCATTCTACAGTACATCTACAGGTTTAGGATCTTAATTTGAGCCAGTATCCTAAAAACAGCAGGAAAATATTCCTGCAGCAACAGGAAATGTGAGTTATTATGTGGATTATAATTAATGGACATTTTTGTAGGAGTTGATACATTTTCCGTAAGGTAAAATCAAGTCTGAAATTTCAAAGTGGAAATTACAAACTTTAGAAGCCTTTTTAAACTCAAATTTTTCTTTTAAGATCATATATCTGTATACATCTAACAGACTTGCTGCAAACACAGGAACCAAGAGAGCTCAATTAGACATGGCATTTTACTCGGGGATGTAGTGTTAAAAAAGAAAAGTGGGTAAACCCTGTAATCTCTCCGAGATGGACAACCATGCTTATTTAGTGTAAATAGGCACTTAAATACTATTAACTAAATAAAAAGGTGCGTAAACAGTGTTGCATGTGTTTACCCTCCACTACATCCCTAATACTACATGAATATCAAACGGCCTGTGAGTGACATGTCTGCCCCCTTGGTGTCTCAGAATGAGCGAGGGGAGTTCCAGGCGCAGGAGTCTGTGCTGAAGCAGCTGGAGGTCCTACAAGAGGAAGAGAAGGAGTTCCAGCACATTAAGGTGGGCACAGAAACAGGAATAAAGGAGGCAGTGATATAACATTAGTCCTAAAATGTACACCGAATAAGGTGGGCACAGAGCCAGGCATACAGGGGGCAGTGATACAACATTAGTTGAAATGTCCTAAAATGTACACCATTGTGTATTTCAAGGAGGAACATGTATTATATTCAGTTAGTACTCCTATTCTGTTTGTTATTTTTCACAAAGAATGACTCTTTGTTTTTCTGCTTAGATGTAAGGAATGTTAGTTATTTTCTGCATAAGCATCTTTCTTTTGACACAAAACCCACCGCTGGTGTGTGTGGCCAAAGAGCTCTATTTTCATGTCATTTGACAATAGCACTGGTTCCAATCAAAGTGCCAATGCTGTTTAGCAAACTCCAGGCATTTACATTTGTTGGATTTCATAAAAATAAATATCTTTGCCCACACACACCAGTGGTGGGTTTGGCGTGGAAAGAAGGAAGCATATGCAGAAAAGTACCTCATACCGACTGTAAAATATGGTGGTGGATCTTTGATGTTATGGGGCTATTTTGCTTCCACTGGTCCTGGGGCCTTTGTTAAGGTCAACGGCCTCATGAACTTTACCCAGTACCAGGATATTTTAGCCAAAAACCTGGTTGCCTCTGCCAGGAGGCTGAATCTTGGCCGCAAGTGGATCTTCCAGCAAGACAATAACCCCAAGTACACCAAAATCCACAAAGAAATGGTTAATTAACCACAAAATAAACATTTTGCAATGGCCATCTCAGTCTCTGGACTTGAACCCCATTGAAAACCTGTGGTTTTGAATTGTTTGAGGGCAATCCATAAGCACAGACAAAGGATATCAATGATATGGAAATATTCTGTATGGAGGAATGCGCTAAGTTCCCTTCCAATGTGTTCTTCAATCTTATAAAACATTTTAGAAAAATGCTCAGTGTCGTTATCCTCGCAAGGGGAGGGTGCTAAGGTATTGAAAACAGGGGATCCAATAATTGTATTTGTTATGCTCCTCTTTCTCTGAGCAATTGTATTAGTATAAAATTATATTATTCTTGTTTGTTAGTCATACATCACAGCTCAGTATTTATATTTATTTTATACAATCTTTTTTGCTCATCTTTATCAAGGGATCCAATAATTTTGGACCCCACTGTACATAATCAAGTATGATATGTGGGATGAAAGATTAATCCTAATGCATTAAGAGGTCACCATCATTATTGTGATGGCTGTTCAGTGGTCTGTAATTGACATACTAAAATGTGTGCTCTACTGCAGTATCAAGCATTAAAGGGTTAGTTCACATAAAACACTCTTTTCTTTTTACTTTGGGTATTGTCAGTTCATCTAGACATTTAAGACCATTAGCTGGTTATGTAAGTAATGTCCAGCCTCTCCTGGCTAGCATTTATGGACATGCTAATGGAAACAGATGGACCCAGCAAGCACAGTATTGACAAGAGTGTGAAAATAGCATTTTTCTTTAATCAGGTCCCTTCCACTCGATTCACATCTCTTTCCATCAGCATTGCTCAAACTGTCTGAACGAATTGACAGCAGCCTAGGTAAGTCGGAAAATAGGATACAACTTTATTATAGATTAACTATCCCTTTAAGTACGGATATGCAATATAATTTGGGATATTGGAAACTTCCACTTTCAAAAGCTTAATTTAAGCCCATTCCATGACATCTTTGAACCTGGACTCTGACTCTTATCCGTGAGGCTACCCCTTCTCCATCTCCCAGGTCAGATAAGTTATCCGCTGATATATTCTCATAAACCTTCCTCTTCCTCGGCTAATTAAATTCCCACCCTTGAGATTATGCTGCTTGGAGTACCATCCCTTTTATCTTGCCATCCCTAATAGTTATTTGCAATTTCCCCCAGCCTAAAGTGCAGACAAAGATACAGTATCTGCTAGCTCTGACAGCAAATTTAGTATTTTTCCCCCTTTGGAATGTCGGCAGGCAAAGTCTATCTCCGTCTTCCAGGAATCGAACAATCATTTAATTTCAAGAAAGGAAATGGAGTAACATAGAGAGGGCAGGGGAAAAAAAAAAAAAACGCTTTAAACACATAGGCCGTGGCTGAAAATAAACTGTTGTGGCAATTTTTCGACATACAGTATGTTGCTCCCACATGTGAAATCATCAAGGCCATTTAATTGGCTGATAACAGGATTTATTTGCCTTCGTGGGAGATGACAATTTCACAACCCGAAAGCATGTAATCTATTTTTCACATGTTCGCACGCATCAGCCTGTTTCTTTGTTTTCCCATCATTCTAATAAATAGCAGTTCATTTGGATGTGACTGACCTTGGTCACAATAAGGCAAGCATTTGAATACATGAGCAACAATGGGTGTCACAGCTTGAGACCACCTAGGATTAGGGCATAAATACCTGTTGATGAAGCCTGAAATAGAAGTCAAGTTTATACTCTTCTTATGCACTCCGGGGTGAAGTTTCCCCTACGTATGGAGAAAAGAAATGTATGCACTCACTAACTGTATGTCGCTCTGGATAAGAGCGTCTGCTAAATGACTAAAATGTAAATGTAAAATGTACAGATCTACGATCAACTTCCCCTTTACCATTTCTTACCTTAACCATTAGTGTGGGAACATATATATTTATAACCGAAACAACGCACATATTATTAAAGCCAGGATAACTGTTCCCGGTTGAAATGAAAGTAAATGACTGGATCATCAAAAGAGGACTGGAAGAAATTAGATGTTGCTCTTTCAAACTGTAATCATCAATCTTTTTGTGAGTTATCTTTATATTTATTTTTTATTTAACCTTTATTTTAGGCAAGTCAGTTAAGAACAAATTCTTATTTATGATGACTGCCTACCAAAAGGCAAAAGGCCTCTTGCGGGGACAGGGGCTGGGATAAAAAAATAGGAAATGTAGGACAAAACACAAATCACAACGAGACACCACAACACTACATAAAAAGAGCCCTAAGACAACAACACAGCATGGCAGCAACACATGACAACACAGCATGGTAGCAACACAACATGACAACAACACGGTAGCAACACAACATGGCAGCAGCACAACATGGCAGCAGCACAACATGGTAGCAGCACAAAACATGGTACAAACATTATTGGGCACAGACAACATCACAAAGGGCAAGAAGGTAGAGAAAACAATACATCACACAAAGCAGCCACAACTGTCAGTAAGAGTCTTTGAATGAAGAGATGGAGATAAAACTGTCCAGTTTTATTTAATTTTTTCAGCTAGTTCCAGTCGCTAGCTGCAGCGAACTGAAAAGAGGAGCGACCCAGGGATGTGTGTGCTTTGGGGACCTTTAACTAAATGTGACTGGCAGAACGGGTGTTGTATGTGGAGGATTAGGACCGCAGAAAGTATCTCAGACAGGGGGGAGTGAGGCCTAAGAGGGTTTTATAAATAAGCATGAACCAGTGGGTCTTGCGACGGGTATACAGAGGTGACCAGTTTACAGAGGAGTATAGAGTGCAGTGATGTGTCCTATAAGGAGCATTGGTGGCAAATCTGAAGACCGAATGATAAAGAACATCTAGCCGCTCGAGCGCACCCTTACCTGCCGATCTATAAATTACATCTCCGTAATCTAGCATGGGTAGGATGATCATTTGATTCAGGGTTAATTTGGCAGCTGGGGTGAAAGAGGAGCGATTACGATAGAGGAAACCAAGTCTAGATTTAACCTTAGCCTGCAGCTTGGATATGTGCTGAAAGAAAGACAGTGTACCGTCCAGCCATACTCCCAAGTACTTGTATGAGGTGACTACCTCAAGCTCTAAACCCTCAGAGGTAGAAATCACACCGGTGGGGAGAGTGTCATTCTTCTTACCGAACCACATGACCTTTGTTTTGGAGGTGTTTCACAACAAGGTTAAGGGCAGAGAAAGCTTGTTGGACACTAATAAAGCTTTGTTGTAGAGCGTTTAATACAAAATCCGGGGAGGGGCCAGCTGAGTATAAGACTGTATCATCTGCATATAAATGGATGAGAGAGCTTCCTACTGCCTGAGCTCTGTTGTTGATGTAAATTGAGAAGAGCGTGGGACCTAGGATTGAGCCTTGGGTTACTCCCTTGGTGACAAGCAGTGGCTGAGACAGCAGATGTTCTGACTTTACACACTGCACTCTTTGAGAGAGGTGGTTAGCAAACCATGCCAAAGACCCTTCAGAGACACCAATACTCCTTAGCCAGCCCACAACAATGGAAAGGTCTACCATATCAAAAGCCTTCGCCAAGTCAATAGAAATAGCAGCACAACATTGCTTAGTATCAAGGGCAATGGTGACATCATTTAGGACCTTTAAGGTTGCAGTGACACATCCATAACCTGAGCGGAAACCAGATTGCATACCAGAGAGAATACGATAGACATCACCAAAGCCAGTCAGTTGACTATTGACAAGTTTTTCCAACACTTTGGATAGACATGGCAAAATAGAAATTGGTCTATAACAGTTAGGATCAGCTTGATCTCCCCTTTTAAATAAAGGAAGCACCGTGGCTGCCTTCCAAGAAATGGGAACCTCGCCAGAGAGGAGAGACAGGTTAAAAAGGTCCGAGATAGGCTTGGCGATGATAGGGGCTGCAACCTTAAAGAAGAAAGGATCTAAACCATCTGACCCAGAGGTTTTTTGGGGGGTCAGGTTTAAGGAGCTCGTTTAGCACATCAGACTCAGTGACCACCTACAGGGAGAAACTTTGTAGCAGGGCAGGGGAAAAAGAGGGAGGAGCATCGGGGCTAGTCACATTAGAAGGGCTGGGAGATGAGGACATGTTGGACGGGCAAGGAGGCATGGCTGAGTCAAATAGGAATCCTGACTTAATGAAGTGGTGATTAAAGAGCTCAGCCATGTGCTCCTTGTCAGTAACAACCACATCATCAACATTAAGGGACATGGGCAACTGTGAGGAGGAGGGTTTATTCTCCAGGTCTTTAACCGTTTCCCAGAACTTCTTGGGGTAACTAACTTTAGCCTTCTGGATATCCTGAGAGCACGTATTTCTCATTTGTCAGCCTGAGTATGCGTGTGCCGAGCCTTTCGCCAAATGGAATTCTTGAAGTGGAGTAACTCTGCCAGATCACGGTCGAACCAGGGGCTGAACCTGTTTTTAATTCTCATTTTCTTTATGGGGCCGTTTGTTAACAATACCACTGAAAATATCAAAAAAGAAGGTCCAAGCATCTTCGACAGAGGGAATCAAGCTGATTCTATACCAATTTACAGAGGCCAGGTCATGAAGGAGGGATTGCTCATGAAAGGTTTTTATCAAGCGTCTATGACAATTCAGGACAGGTCGTTTAACTGAGCAACCATTATGAACACAGGCTGTAAAACAGTGATCACTAAGGTCATTACAGAAAACACCAGAATAATACCTATCAGGATTATTTGTGAGAATAACATCAAGGAGAGTAGCCTTTTCTGGGTGTTGGCATCCATACCTTGTGGGATTGGTAATAATCTGAGAAAGATTTAGGGAGTCCCGTTGCTTTAGCACTTGGTCAGGTGGTTTAAGTATGTCCCAGTTTAGGTCACCTAGCAGGAGAAATTCAGACTTAGTGTAAGGGGCCAGGAGAGAGCTTAGGGCAGGTAGGGTGCAGGCCGGTGCTGATGGTGGACGATAACACCCAACAACAGTCAACAAAGAGCTATTTGAAAGCTTAATGCTTAAAACCAGCAAATCAAATTGTTTGGGGACAGACTTGGTGGAGACAGAAGATCACTGAAGGTGTTCCTTGGTAAAGATTGCCACTCCACCACCTTTGGAAGATCTGTTTTGCCAAAAAAGGTTATAACCGGAAAGGTTAACATCAGTGTTCAACACACTCTTTCTTAACCACATCTCAGTAATGACCAACACATCTGGATTGGAGCTGTGAACCCACACTTTCAATTGATAGATTTGAGGTAATAAGCTTCTAATGTTAACGCGCAGAAAACCCAGGCTTTTACAAGAGCATAAATCAGGGAAACAGAAAACATCAAAGCACTAGTCAGAATTGGGGCTAGCAACAGTAGATGGGCCTGGGTGTACATACACATTTTCACGGCAGAGGACAGGGAGAGCTCTGCAGTGTTGATTTTTTTATGACATTTGAATGTTTATCAGATGGTAGCAAGATCATATTGTACAGAAATGTCATCAGGTAACATGAATACAAAGCCGGCGAGAGGTGGTTAGAATAGGATGGGAGGCAAAGAGTCAGAGTAAACAATAGAGAGTCAGAGTCGCGAGTGTGGGAACAAACATTGTCTGTCCCACGGTCGGGTAAACAAGCAAGTTCATGGTCAACAAAGCATGCAGGAGTAATGGTGCAAATAGCATAAAGCATAAGAAAAAAATAAAACCACTCTTGGCTAGCCATTGTCAGTTCAAAGAATCACTTGCCCCAACAAGATAACTTGAGAGAGTAGCTCTCTATGAGTCGAGTAGGCTATACAAATCTGAGATATATAAATAGCAGGCCTACACTAGTTAATTAAAGCATTTCTGAGTAAAGCTCCCATAACAAGATTAACAAGTTAATTAGCCTACATAAAATTCTGATCAGTCCAAAATCTGCAATGTGTGTGTATGTGCGTGTGTGCTGGAGGCGAGCGAAAGCTCGGGGAAGATGGGGGAGTGTGGTGGGGGTACCTGTACCAGACAGGGGGAGACAGGCCAGGGCAGATGAGGAACAGATCGCCGGGTGGGATCCAAGCAGCAGGCAACGGGAATAGGTGTCACACACGCTTGGGATAAGCTTTTTCGGGAGGCTGAGTAGGAGAGGAGGTGTTCAACCTTACCAGACAGGTGGGTGGTAGAGCAGATCAAAGCGTCCGAAGCGTAAAGCTTGTTGAAAAACCGTGGTAAAGTTGGCTTGAGTTTCAATATTTGCCAGACGTGTGGATATTCTACACGCAACACCGTTTGGTGTTGTTTAGTTTAGGTGTCTTGCTCCAATCCCACACAATGCTTCTCTTGATCAGACACTAGACCTGAGCAACTAGTGGCCCTCTGCAATACTGAAAGGTTTCCCAAGGTAAGCGAAGATGGGAAAAAGCTGATTTATTTTCCTAGTAAGTTGCAAACTGCTGTAGCAAAATAACTTCAATTTATTGGCAAGATGCATTTCATTGCTATCACTATTGTGCCCAATGAGAAAATTAGATAGGAACGGCTATCTGAGATGTTCTTTGGCTAACAATGACCAATTCGATTGCGATCACAATAACTACCAAAATAGTAACTGCACTGACATGCTTTCTCCTGTCCTTATACTAAATTAACACCTCCCTTTGTGTCTTTGTCCCCTCTCCTCCACAAGGATCCAACCAATGGCTATTACAGTGTCAATACCTTCAAGGCGCACCATGGCACCCCGACTATGCCAATGGCCGCCAACCAGACCAGCGGCACTGAGGTACGGAACCCTTCGGCTTCTTCTTCATCCACCATGGGCAAACAACGCGTGCCTACGGGCATGTCCTTCACCAACATCTACAACACGCTAGGTGCTGGGCCCAACCGCCTGTACGACTACAGCCAGCGCTTCGTGCTGGGCATGGGCAGCAGCTCTATCGAGCTGTGTGAGCGCGAGTTCCAGCGGGGATCGCTTAGTGACTCCAGCTCCTTCATCGACACGCAGTGTGACAGCAGCGTGAGCAGCTACAGCAAGCAGGACGGCTATGTGCAGTTCGACAAGGACAGCAAGGCCTCGGCCGCCTCCTCCTCCTCCCACTACTCGCAGACGTCCTCGCAGAACTCTGACCTGACGCGGCCGCTGCAGAAACGCATGCAGACCCATGTGTAATAGAGCTATGGATGGGAGTGGGTTCGGACGGGATAGCACATTTGGACACTTTAAGGAACACTGCCTGACTAGTATACAGTGCTATTTTTTGTTTGGTTTGTACTCTGGTCCACCCGAGGGAGATGATGCAGTATTCCACCTTTGACAGACGATTGGCAACTACGGTGTCCATATTAGGACAGCCTGAAGTCCTGATGAGACTGAGGCTGTCCTAATGTGGACATTGTACGTACCACTCTTTTTACATGTTCTTTGGATTACATTGTATTCCCCTTGAAACAAGCTCATCAAACAAAAGAGATCATAACCTTGAGAGCTACATATGGTGGAAAAAAAGATGACAATCAAAAGTCCACTTTCTCAATGAACAATGTTCTGCTGTTGTTCACTATTCTGTTTCAACTAGAGGACTGCCTCAAAACGCACAGCTGTGTGGATAAATTCCAGAATTATTTAAAAGTTTATATTATGGAGGAAGACAAACTCTTGGGCCTATGTTCAGCTTCCCAGTTGGGGTTTGACGCACAAAGGGGTATTGTTAAAAACCGCCTGAGGCAATTCTTGTACGTGAAAAAAAAAATCCTTAGATGGTTAATGAAACCTATGAGGAAATATGGTGTCAGTGGCAGGCTATGTAATAAAGAGGAACACCTTGCCAACTGGCTGACCTGCAGGTCTAATATCCCTACACCTGGATAATTAATACTCAACCAATTATAGATTTTGTCCCGTTTGGTTATCTAGGTATATTCTATATTTTGTTCTTTTATTTTGGACTTATGGTGATTTTTTTTCCTTTTTGATATATGCCTTGTGAAAGTTCATTACTGAGTCACAGATCATAGATAAATGCATGGAGAAGTGTACTGTAGAATACTGTTGTACTACTTCACTTGAGCTGACTTTTCAAATGCTTTGTTCCCTCACAAACCGTTGGTTCCTGGAACCGTTTTGTTTCTTCTGAAAGGACAGTGTCATGTTTACACATCAGAGAAAGGGTCAAGGACCTTATCATCTGTACTTTCCCATTCAATGTGAGACACTTGCAGCTTGATCGTATGTGTGTGAGCAGATAGCTGTGGAGCCAAATACAATGTCATCGCTGCCGGAGCTGTTCTCATTTTCGTGGCTTGCCATACTTAGCTGATATCGTGTTGTTTACACTGGAGCTCTGTAAATCCAGCATTTATGTGTACTGTGATTTGACCACTAAATGACAGGGATGAAGATAAAGTTAATTTTTTCTGTCTGTTGCCTCTGTGGTTACAATGACTTGGTGCCCACTGTTTTAAGTGAACCACATTGTTTTGTCTCAAATGGTACTATTCAGTTTGAAAAGTGACAATTAGGTTGTTCTGTTCAAGAGTAAATACTGAAGGTGGTTAGCAAACAATATAATTTACTACAGTAGGACCTCAAACATATGAACTCGTCGGGACTGGAGGTAGTTCGGAACACAGAAATGTCTGTAACTTTCAATTTCACTTTTTAAAAATGCGAAAAAAATATTTCTCAAAAATATTGATTGCATATTTACATGTGTTTCACTTTTAAATATCCCAAGTTTGATATTGACAGTTTGGTTGAGCAATCAATCTGTAACACTGAGGTTTGTGTCTTTGAGGTCCTACTATGACTTCATTAAATAATTACTATTGGTCAATATAAATATGATATGAACTAACTCAATATGATGAAGGTTGCGTGGGATCTTTTCGGTTTTAAAGTTGAGAGGGCCAATATGAGCATCCTCACAGTGAAGCGTCTCATACAACAAAAAGTCAACCAATCTTAATTCCTCTCTCAACTACGTTCAAAACCAAATGACTCATTTGGGTAACACTTTCCAATCATTAATAAGGCATTTGTTAATTATCTAATTGCAAATCACTACCCCAATATTAAAAATCACCAGTATGTAATTTATAAACCAAATAACTTCCCAATGTATTTAAATATTTTAATGCAGCCTCCATCCATACCCTGCCTGTTTGGTAATGACCAGCACCACCATTCATCATGACTGATTATCATATGCCTTACAACAGAGAGACGGCTGTCCTAGAATGGACACCATACAGTATATCCCCAATCAAGGTGTTACTATAAAATATCACGTAACCTCCATTATCATGCAGATACCTTTTCCGTTGTTGAACTGTGTGTTAAAAGGGTTAGTTCAGTATTCTACAAATTAATGTTAGATGGTTCCTTACCCTTAAACAGTGGAGGCTCCTCAGAGGAGGAAGGGGAGGACCATCCTCCTCATTAAATTTCATAACAATTCTAATTGTAAAACATTTAAAAATGTATCCTTTTTAGATAGAACTACACTAAATATAATCATGTCACCAAATAACTGATTAAAACACACTATTTTGCAAAGAAGGTCTACATTAGCCTCAACTGCACTCTCTAGGGTAGCACCATGGTGTAGCCGGAGGACAGCTAGTTTCCGTCTCCCCTGTGTACATTGACTTCAATACAAAACCTAGGAGGCTCATGGTTCTCACCCCATTCCATAGACTTACACAATCACACACAACATCATACAGAACAGTCCAGGGCTAAATAGGGGTGGTGATGAGATGATGAGGTGCAGGTGCGCTGGAGGTGATTAGGGTGCGTTGGGTTTCCATTCCGGTGTTGCCGAGGTGGTGGCTCAGTAGACCGGCGAATCAGAGCGCCAGAGGGGAGCAACAGGAGGAGATGTGACACTATGGGCCAAGATAAACTGTAATCCATGATTCAGTTTTCTTTAGACAACTACTAGAAACTTCAGCTAACTTTAGCCACTGCCAGCTAAAATCAATGGGAGTGTTAGGGGCATGTGGTGCCTATTAAAAAATAAATGGCCAAATCACATTTAAGTAACATCATACCAGGGATGAGAATGTACCCAACTAATCCTCAGCTTTATAAGTCATGACTAGCTCAAAGCTCCATTTGTCTAAAAGGAACTTCTGAACACGATTGTTTCAACAGAGAACTATTGAAGTTAATTGAGGTAGAAATTTGTACTCATGTGACTTGTTTCAGGAAACTAGTCATATGTAGCGCGTCACTACTTCAAAGGAGAGGCATTTGAACAAACTTTTTTTTTTAAATCAAAATCCGTTTTTTGGCAGAAATACCTTCTGGAACATGTGAACTTTCATGTGCCTTAATAACAAACTTGTATGCCATCTGTAAATACGAATAAAAGTGTTAAATTACGAGCCTAGTTGGTTTAGCCATGGAAAAAGACAGGAACCTTCCTGCTAGCCTTGATTGGCTGAGTTATAAACAGAAGCGTGCTACATGGCAGACCAATCCAAACTCATCTCCCGGCATGTCCAGCCCATCCATTATCTCAGCCAATCATGGCTAGCGGGGAAGGTTCCTGTCTTTTTCTGTGGCTAAACCAACTAGGCTCGTAATTTAACAATTGTATTTGTATTTACGGATGGAATACAAGTTTGTTATTAAGGCACATGAAAGTTCACATGTTCCAGAAGGCATTTCTGCCAGAAAAAAAGCATTTTGATTTAAAAAAAAAAAATTACGTTCAAATGCATCTCCTGTGAAGTAGTGATATTCGACATAAGCCTGGTTTCCTGAAATGAGTCCCATATCCCTCTCATTGCCTATAACTTATGACAAATGCAGTAGTAACAGGATTGAAATGACGCAGAATAACTCAATATTACTCCTGCCCTCCCAAGAGGTCTATGTGACCCTTCAAACTCTCTTAAAACAAATTCTATAACCTCTGATTGACAGACAAGACCTTTCACACAAGCGAATGACAGACAGAATTTAGTGGCCTACATTTTTCCCCCTTTTTTGTAATTAATAAAAGGTTGAGAGGGAGGCAGACTATTGTCCATGGGAAATCAACCCGGTGACATTTTGTGACTCCAGTCTCCAGAGGGGCCAACCACAGGGCCAGATCAAACCAGCCCTTTGCTCTCCTCCCTTATGTCCCTGACTGCCACACACACCACACACTGATTATTTACCGTAGTCACTGAATTATTTCCCATCTTTTTTAGTTTCATCTTGTGTTGAATAACGTCAGTAATTGAGTGCTTAATCTAGCCAGATTTGTCTTTGCAATCTGCCAGACTGATCATTATCTGCAGGTAATGTAGTTTACGAAAGTTCAATCAGTAAGGCTGGTCTGAATGCTCTATTATATCAAGCAGCATAACATAATTCACTGTTTCCTATTATATGGCATAGTGTGCATTAATACAAATATATCATCATCAGAATAGTGTCTCGTTCTTCTCCTCTTCCTATTAGCCATGGGCGGAATGTCATTCACCTATTTACCTTTAGCCAATAAGCACGGCACAATAATGCAAATTCCGCATGCTTGATGTTTAACCAATGGGCTCACTCTTGCAATTATCACTTTCCTCTTTCTCAACCAATAGATGTAAATCTTGGGATGTATTTTGAGTGCCTTCAGAAAGTATTCATACCCCTTGAGTTATTCCACATTATGTTGTGTTTTAGCCTGAATTCAAAATGTATTATATATTTTTTTCTCTCACCCATCTACACACAATACTGCATAATGACAAAGTGAAAACATATTTTTTGAAATTGTTGCAAATGTATTGAAAATTCAATGCAGAAATATTCAATTTACATAAGTATTCACACCCCTGAGTCAATACATGTTAGAATCACCTTTGGCAGTGATTACAGCTGTTAGTCTTTGTGGGTAAGTCTCTAAGAGCTTTGCACACCTAGATTGTACAATATTTGCACATTATTCTTTTTTTTAATCAAGCTTTGACAGCCATTTTCAAGTCTTCCCATATATTTTCAAGCCGATTTAAGACAAAACCGTAACCAGGCCTCTCAGGAACATTCAATGTCAGCTTGGTAAGCGACTCCAGTGTATATTTGTGACTCATTTCAGGAAACTAGGCGTACAAGTGAGGGAAAAAAGTATTTGATCCCCTGCTGATTTTGTAAGTTTGCCCACTGACAAAGACATGATCAGT